AAATGTTTCGATTGCCGTGGCAGGGTGGCAATCTGCTATCTCCGAGGCTTCCATGTTAAACCTGGATAAGAAATCTTGCAGAGTTTCTCCTTTCCTTTGCCTTATGGTTAAAAGGCTGGCGATACTTTTCTTCTGCTTCTTATTTCCGCAATACTGGGCTAAGAACATAGTGCACAAGGTCTTATAATCAGGGATAGACTTGTGTGGCCTATTCCTGAACCATTCTAACGCTGCTCCGGTTAAACTGGTAGGGAAAAACCTTACACATCCACGGATCGTTATGATCGTCCAGTGCCATCTTTTGCGCATAATGATCGAGATGCCGAGAGAGGTCTCCTGCCTCATGTGGAGGGTGAAGATTCACCCACTTGTTGACCTAGGATAGGTGCACTTGTTGGCTTGGATGGTTGATAAGGTGTACGCATAGGATTAAGCCTACAATGGATGCTTGGATGAATGACAAGTGTATGCTCCAAATTAAGTCTTGTAATTATTTTTGGGCTACTTTGGGATTATGGTTTTAAATTAGGGTTTTTGTGAAATTGACCAAACTTGTGTGTGTAGATCATAGTGTAAGATCATATAGTGAGTGGAGGATTTCTATTTCCTCCACTCACACTTCATTCATTGCTTTCATTATCTTCCACACCAAAAACCCTAGCCTCCATGGATGAAGCTTAAAGCCTTAAGCTTGACTTTGATTTTTGAGAGCCTTCCATTGATTTCTAAGCTTAACCTTGGGAATACTTTTTGTTCCCCTCATTTAACGCTTGAAGGGTTTGCCATTTTGTTTGATGAAATTGACCAAACTTGTGTGTCCCAAGGTTCTGGGTGAAGGATGGCATAGTGAACTTCCTTGGTCTCTCCACAAGGTACACATCGTCAGTAAAGGGGGTCTTAACCAAGGAGTTCTTGTGCTCTCTAACCATCTCGGCTAGTGTCTGAATTCTTAATAGCTTCTTTTCGTCGAAGGCATCTTGTACGCGTGCGCCATCTGGAACGCCATTGGACCATACCGTAAGCCTATGGCTGGACTCGGCCTGTTCGTCCTGTGTGCGACGCGAGAGATTATCCGAAGCAACCGCCTCGGACCTCGTCCCTTGCTGTTACTGAACCTCATTAGGTCGAGCCCCGTTGGCCGGAGGCTCGTGAACTGGAGGTAAATTCTGGGTGGGGGTGGTGCTGCAGCATCGCCTAGTGGTGGTTGTGGCGTTAGCCTGGCCATTGCCGTGTGCAGCGTATGAGTTTGCTGCTGAAGCGCAGCTATTTGGGCGACACTCATATCGTTTGCTTGCCGAAGTGTCTCAAATTGGTGCAAGAACTCCTCTCGCATCTTTTACATCAATTCTATCTGTTGATTCATTGCTGACTTTCCGTTTGACATTCCAGATACGACTAAGGATTTGATTTGAAGAACAAGTGGGAGTATATTTTTATACGATTCCCACAGACGGCGCCAAAGTGTAGGTGCAAAATTCCGCTCAACCAATAATTTTTGAGAAAAATCAAACAACTCACTCAAAAACAATAAGAATAAATAAGAATAGTGTATAAAAAAGCGTAGAATTATTTGATCTCTTTATTGGAGGTCTAAGCCTCTATTTATATACAAAAGATTGTAGAATTATGGTAGGACTCGCTTTGCTTGTCCTATAATTTTTTTTATATAAACATTCTTTACTAATAGAGTTCTTTCCATTGTTTAATTTTCTATGCATAGAACTTGCCTTGTACAGAACTTCCTATCTTAGAATTTTCCTTCTATGGTAAATCCTTCAACTGGTAGGACTTGTGCATTCTTGAATAACTGGGCTGAACATATTTTGATCCGGTTGGGCTTGAATAACGGGCCGAATGTTAAATATTAAAAAGTTGGACTGATGACCTCTTGATTCGGCCTTGATGGAGGTTGGAAGACAAATAACAGTGGTCTTGGGCTAAAAGATAATATAATTTGGGCTTGATCCGGACGGGCCTTATATGTCCTTGGAATGTAGATATGTGTAGTGATGACGTGTACGTTTCTTATTGGAGGGAGCTTTTTTTCCTCCACACCACTAACTCAGCTAACTCGGACCTAACCCAACTAACATGAGCTTAACGAGTAAAACAACAATATGCTTGAAATTGAATCGTCATATGTCGCGGGTTGAACACCTCGGATTGGACTCACTCAATTAACCTACACTTATTTTTTTATGTTTTTTTTACCAAAGCTTATCACTTCTATCTGTTATCAGTAAAATAAATTGTCTTATTCCGCACCAAAAGGTCAATTCAAAGCATATTTCAATGTAATTCATTCTTTATGGTTTCTGGAACTTCACAAAATCTTTGAATTCCTTCGTCTTCTTCTTTTTTCTCGCTATCTCTTAAATTTTGATATTTTGTTATCATTTATTTTTTTATTATTATTTGACCAAAAATGTATAAAAACTCTCAAACATCCATGTTGATTGGATTCATTAACCCGAAAATGACACATTAAACTACTTAATTAGTCTATGGAACAATCCGTGCTCATACGTGACCACTCGAGAAAATTTTGTGAAAAGGGATTGTCTTTTAATTTGTGGGGGCAAACTTATAAAGTGAATTCATTTTTATAATTTTAATGGAGTGATCAACAGGTCAATGACCTAACGGTATCAGCTTCTTACCTCCCAAAGGGAGATTAGGGGTTAAGTCTCAAAAGAGACAAATGTATGTGAGTATCAATTAAGAAGAAAAAAAAAAAAAAAAAAAATTAATAGGGTTTTCTTCATAAATTTACAAAAAATTAAAGTATAAAATGCAAAAAAAAAATTAGTGCTGACAAATTATATTTTTAGTGGGGTCATCTTCATAAATTCTTAAACATTAAAAATATAAAATGTAAAAAAAAAATAGAATTCAGTGGGGACAAATTATAATTTTAGTAGAGACATATTCATAAATTTAAAAATATATATATATAATATAAAATATAAATATAAAAAATTCAGTGGAGGCGCGTGCACAGCTACAAAAATTATATATAATAAATAAATAAGAAACAAGCTCATTTAGATTACTTGTGGCAAATAGACCTTAAGATATAGACTTGCACCAAAAGAAATATACTTACAACCTAATACAACCTAATTTATTAACATGGCTTCTGGATCATTTAACATTTATGTCATCAGTGACGATTATAACTAATACAACCTAATTAATTAGGTTTTACTCAAATTAGTTAAATATTAATTAACCACAAAATCTACTATACGTTTACTCAAGTTACCATGCAAAGAAAGTCGTACATTGACATTGGCTACTCTATTTGCTTAATTCAATATAAATATGTTGATTTTGACTGTTACGAGCTTGCAATTATATTTTTTTAATTTTATGCAAAAAGGGTGAAATCTTCCATTATTATTTTTCTTTTTTCCGATGATATTTCACCACGGGCTCTAAATTAGTAATATCTTATTTACTTTTAAAAGTGAATGGTGACATTTTTTCTTTCTTTCTTTCTTTTATTTATTTATTTATTATTATTTTTTATTCCGACAAAACTCAATGCTATAACCAGTTAGTTTACGAAGGGATCTCGATCTTTTAATGTACATTCTTTAATGTCATAGTAAACGCATAACACATTATTCAAGGTGCAACACTATTATTTCAAAATAATAGCATTGTATTTTGATTTCCTGCTATGTAATGAAAAATGCTACACAATTAAGTGTAAGTTGCAATGGTGTTGCAACCTCAATGTGATATGTTACGAGCTCAATTGCAATACATTAAATCGAGACTACGATATAATTATTTCGGCCTCCATTGCAATTTTGGTGTTTGAATGCCTGCACGGCTCATGCCAGGGATTATCACTGAGATACTTTAGTCATTTAGCTGGTAAAGTATAAAAAAATAATACTCCATCCATCCCATATTAGTAGTTCATTTTTCTCTTTTTACATGCCCTAAATTAGTTGTCATCTTTAAAAAGTCAAAGCATTTTTTCATTATATTTCCATCATTGTCCTTTATCTTTGTAAAAAAATTCAAACTATCTAACTATATATATATTTAAATTTTAAAAGGATAATTTAGTAATTTTAAAAGAAAACAATGCATTAATTGCATGTCTCCTTGAAAACATCAATTTCTAAATATAAACTTCTATGTGGAACAAAGGGAGTAATAATAATAATAATAATAATAATATATATATATATATATATTGTTCAAGATCTATCATACAGTCAATTTAACAATACAGTCAATTTAAATTAGTATAAAAATTATTTCAAAAAAATTGCTTTACATGAATATGCAAAGCAATGCCGGCTCAAGGTAATATATATATATATATATATATATATATATATATATATATTTCCTAGTTGGTATTCACAAACACTCCTGACCTCCTTTGAGAAATAAGGCCTGGTACCACTAAGCCACATGCCTGTTAGTTATTTATTTTTATTTTCTTTTTTGTATTTTCTAATGTTTGGTTATTATAAAATATTTATAAATAAAAAAATTATTAAAACCTAACAAAAATAACTTATTCATCAACTTTCTACAAACTATTTTACACATTTTATCCGATAAACTCAACCTAAACCTTTACAACCCACCGAAAAAAAAAAATATATATATATTTTACGTTGGAGAAAAACTAGATCATCAATCTTACAAATTGACAACTTAAAGTCAGCAGCACCAAAAGGATAATCTGCACTACCATCCAAGTTGTCGGATTGTTTCATTTTTACGATCGGATTCTTTTTATTTTTTATTTTTTATTTTAAACTTTTTTCATATGAATATTCAAACTATTCGGAGGCAATTTTTAGCCTAAAATGAAATAAAAACCCTTCAAAGTTAAAATAGTAGATTTAAGTTGAGTAATGGTTGTCCAACTGCAAATTATCTAACTCTTCAAAATTTTCTGTTGTTTTGGCAAAATACAATGTGGAACTTCCTTTCATAGGGAAGAAGCCATAAACTGTGCAAGTTCCTTTCATAAGAGGGCACATATCGAATTGTTTTATTTGATGATCAAGATTCAAGACACGATTAACAAATACGAACGATGAATATAGTAAACATATAGATTAAATCAATCATAGTCATCAAGTGAGACATCCAAGTTTTTATATATGGGGTGAAAAAACAAGTGATTCTTCATAAATTCAGCAGATTACCCCCAAGAGCTCAGTTCTTAACAGTTGTCACTTGCTTCAGAAGCATCTGAACAACATCATGAGAAATTCTGGCAGCTTCTATCTTCAGGTGATGAATGTTTGCCTCCGTTTCGTGCTCGAGGCGCTTCACATTAGCACCTGAGTCTCCACTGCTCTGTTAATGAAACCGAGGGTGCTAATTACTATATAAATAGAACACTAAATGTATAGACATATCAATTAGCATTACCTTCTGTGTGTGTGTGTGTGTGTGTGTGTGTGTGTGTGTGTGTGTGTGTGTGTGTGTGCATATATATCATCAATTAGACATTCTAGATTTCTCCTGTATCATACAGACAACAGTTACAAATGTGGGATTGGAATATTACTCCCATAGTGATCAACTCTTGGCAAGATTATCGAGTTTGGAAAACAAGTTCAAACAACATTTGAGTGAGATTTAAAGAAATCAATAAATGGGGGAAGTATGTTTTTCCAATATGAATTTATTTTAAGTAGTTCATTTACGGTTTACCAATATATATATATATATACATACATACATACATACATATATAAATAGAAGCATTATACAACAGTCATCACATATTTGTATAGGCCTGGGTTAAATAACTTCAGTGAAAAAGCTACATGTAGACACAGTTCAGCACATCTTAGTTATAAATAGAATTTTTAGGTTGGAACCTGCCGGTAGATTTAATTCAATATAGCTTTCGTATGAATATGGATGGACTTTGATTGAGATATTAGTTTTCTTTTTTGGTAATTACCTCTGCAATCTTCTTTAGAAATTCATATTCCATTTGAGTACGGAATTGATAAGTCTCTTTCTCAGCCTCTTCTTTGGCCCGTTTTAGTCTAGCCATTTTTGCTGAAAACAAAAGCCAAAGCAAATATAAATTAGTTGTCAGAATTTAGAATTCAACTAATAAGACAGCTTAATATGGAAGCCACAAATGTCTATAATAAGTATGCAAGTAATTTTGCCTGCATGCCCTCCTTATTTGATGGCAAAACAAGGGTCGACCCACAGGCAGACAAAACATATGTGATGCTTGTAGAATGCAACTTGTGACCTCTTTCATAATCACGATAGAAAATTTTAATAAAAGATGCTTGTAAGGGATTTTCTATTGGCTAACACATGCCTCAGCAATCCGTTTCCAACCATCCAACACATGGGGCGAGAGACCTAGGGAGCATGGATGAGGATCTCAATTTGCAGGGGTTGCGACATGCAAGTGCTCGGTAGGACTCTACATGGCATGAGCAGAGTTGAGTTCTAGAGCCTTTCACAACTATGTAGAGAAGTATGGAATAAGGAATGCGGATGTCTATAAATAAAGGAGGGTGTCATTAGTAAAAAAACAAACACCAAAGCACATGTAGTGTCTTGTTACGGATGGAGCGTCTTGTGAAGATTGTAGCAAGATGCAATAATGATAACTCAGACAGGAGCATAAGTGCGAGCATAACTGCACACACACCAATCTCCATCTCCTTGACCCACACCCATCCCAATCCAATTCTTCAATCAATCATTTTTTTATTAACACAAATTTGAATTCAAAGTTAAATTTGAATTCAAAGTTAAAACATATCAAATATATAAAGGGAAGTGTTTACCATTTCTAGCAGTATTAACAATGTGCTGAGCATCTTGTTCTGCAGCTAGTAAATGTTGAATTCCATTCCGACTCGTGTTGGCTTCCATAGCTGTTCAAAGTCGTTACACAAAAATATAAGATTTTAAAAGATGAGATAAAAATTACATGTGATATACTGAACACAACCAAAATGACTTCAAAATTATAAAATTACACAAAATTGAAAAAAGACACTCTTCTGAAAGTACTTTATAAAATTAAAAAGGGCATTCTCTAAAACTACTTTGGTTTTATAATGCCGGACAAGAATTTAACAGAGCAAGTTTAGCATCATATTTCCTGAATATATTTACCTCTCCATTGAATAACCTCATGAAAAGCAGATTTGTTATTAGGTGAGGTGAAAAAAAGGACGCATTTCCATATTAGTATCCTTCTTCATACTAAGAAATAAAAATGCTCTAAAAGTTGCAGAATCCGTATCATCACAATTCAAAAGGGTTAAAAGCTATCTACAGTCATGAAGATCAGTTGATGCCACCATAATGTGAATGGATTCTGCTGAAACTGAAGCACAACTTTGGCTGTGCTTTCCAATAATACTTCATCATCACATTCAACTTATATTAGAGTGCTGGGAATGCAGCAGTCTGGGCAGAAAGGTGAAGTGCTGAAGCAATTCATTTTAGATTGTGATTGAATTAGGCCTCATTTTTGTTGGGCACAGCGAAAGTGTAACAACAAACAAACACACATCACAAAACAAAAAACAAGATATGCAAGGTTCACCCAAAATCAGAGAGAATATCGAACACCGTACCGTGTACACAAACTCCTGCTCACCATGTACCACCCACAAGACTCCCTCTTGCCATCAGTGCTCTCTCTACCAAACTCATAAACTCCCTCGTGAGGCTACATTTCTCAACTCAAAACTCTCAACAATGACCTAGGTATCTATTTATAGATCTCAAAACTCAATTCCTTGTTGAACAATAATTACAATTCCTTAGAGTCATATTTGCCAACCAAGAAATTACCTAATACAATACAACTCTAAAATAGAAACCTTATTACAATAGGAATTTGAGACACAATCCTAACAGTTTTGGTATAGTTATTGCTTCGATTTGACTTATTTATTAGTTAGTGTTTCAAAACAACAGTTTGGGAATACATATGTTTAAGTATTTTGCCTTCACATGGAGTTTTTCTAACCTCGTTTGGCAACTCAATTTTTATTTTTATTTTTATTCTTTGGCAACGAAAGAAACATAACTTGAAAGCTCAATTTCATTGCCAGGAATGATGAAGTATGTGGAGTGTTGACACCATGGCAGTCCTTGAAATATTGAATTGTAGGATTCAATTTATTCAGTTTCTACCTTTGGGTAGCCCATCTTCCATCTCAAATATGTGAATCTTTTATACCATTATAGCAGTAAGGAAGGTTACGGCCAAGTTTTGGGGTTTGGGGGGGGGGCGGGGGGGGGGGTGGGGGTAGCACTACCATGGTTACTGTCTCTCCATATTTTTCATAAAAATGACAGGCTGACAGTATGCCACATTAGCATATCAAAGAGTACTACTGCCATACTGCTCAAAATGTTAAACTTACATATGTATAAAATTTATTCATGTTTTCCATGTTTATACACATCTTCTAAAATGCAACAAAGAAAATAAATCAACCCAACCCACCATTACCAGCCATGCACATGCATCTATACTACTCATGGCTGTTTCAAAGGGATTCTTAGGCATCATAAAAATCCATGCCCAAAGCTAGTAAAGTTCCCCAATTCTCTCTGCCCTTCGATCAGACCATTTAAGAGTAACTGACATAGGAATAATGGACCACAATTCCATAAAAAGTTCAAAACTAATGACTGTTCTAAAAGGCAAAGCATATTTTGATTCTGAGCTATTCAAAGACGTCAAAACTGAAAATCCATAGGAGAAAGCGCCTTATGAAAATTTGAATTTTTATTCTGATGCATAGAAGGCAAAACCTCCAAGTACTGTTTAGAAATCGAAATATAAAATAGATCATAAAATAAATAAATAAATAAATAACCACTCTAAATTGACATTTTCAACATGGGTTTAAAAGAAATTCAAGGCACAAAACCCTTAATAAACACAAATAGGAAAGCGACAAACATAAGAAGAAGGAAATTGAGAGGGAGACAGTAGAGAAGATTTACATTTATGTATAGAAAGAGAAAGTAAAGAAGAAGAACAAACTGTAATCTGCGCTGTAAGAGGGAAGGATGCATTTCCTCTTGGTCCTACCTTCTTTTCAATTTTTATTCATCCCTCATATAAAATGGAACAAAACTCTCCTCATTACTCTCAATTCCTTAACTGATCAATCAATCAACAGAATGGAAGCATATTAATTGTTATATTGAAAGGTGTGTGACCAATTGGAGATTGGTTTAATGAGTGAGCTTAGCCCCGTGTTTCTCTTAAGCTCTTAGAGTTATTTCCAGACCACTACCCTCCCTTATGCCACACACCACTATACTAGATCATTCTTCTTTTTATTAGCAAAAGCAAGTTTAAATATTTGCAAACATGGATAATGACAAATCGCAATCTAAGTCAATGACCAATATCTATTCAATAAAATTGTAGATAAAGTTTTCGCGAGGAAATTTTGCCATACTTCCCTTTGGGGCAACCCACTGTCGTAATTTGACTGATTTTCATTGGCATTTTTAACCAAAAACCAAAACAATCATTCACATTGTGGATCTACTAAAAAGCATACAATCCAAGAAAATTGTAACAATTTCCTTAAAAAACAATCATTCACATTGTGGATCTACTAAAAAGCATACAATCCAAGAAAATTGTAACAATTTCCTTAAAAAATATATAATAAAAAAGGAAAAGAAAAAAAGAACATTTAAGGCTACCAATCTAAAGAATAAGAAGTTCAGATGATGTGTAACATCCAAATACATCCACACCAGTTTTGATATTAAGCCTAAAGGCAAAGAACTATAAACTATGTTTTTTTTCTCTTTTCTATATGTAAGTTGCGCACACAGACACCTATTATTGTCCATTGGGACCCTAAACCTTCCATATGGAAGGAAGAGGTGTGGTATCATTTGGGCTAAGTTCTTGGTTTTAACCATAAACTATGTTAATGACAAGATGAAAACGAACATAGAGTCAAAATTTAACCAATTTCTTTGACCATAACAAAAAGGGTTGAAATAGAGAGAGAGAGAGAGAAAAAAAAAAACTATGAAAACTAGAAGGGTTATAACGATTGCAACCATTGAACAAACTAATGACCACCAAAAAATACCACAGGCAACAACCTGCCACAAGTTAATTCCACACAATGTGACTTGATGATTTAAAAGAACCAGTCATTACAGTCGAGCAGAACAAATAATCAAGAATAACCATCTAAGGCATGTGCCTTGTACACTTGAATAGCTAGACAAATAACCAAGAATTACTGTTCAAATGTTACCAAATGTGTTTTTCTATCTAAAGGATGTACCTTGTACATTTTAACAAATTTGGACACGGAATTTGTTACCACAAACACAGCGAACCCAAGAAACGACCAAGAAACGTGACAAAAAAAAAAATAAACACGCCGCACACAAAGAACACAAAGATTTAGTGTATTTTGGCAAAGCCTACGCCCATGGTGAAGGAATTTTTTTTTTTTTTCCTAAATGCATGGTGAAGGAATTCACTATGTGAATCTCAAGATTACAAGTTTCATCCCCCAAACCCTAACTCTCGCTCTCACTCTCTTTTTATGATTTTCAGTGTCTCTCTATTTCCCACTCCAAACCCTAAACGCAGTTATATATCGGGCTACAAGAGAGTACTAATTAGAGTCCACGACCAGCAAACAAAACGACTCAAAAATATTCCAAAGGGTCGTCAGGTCGAAATTGGTCGCAACGCAACCCAAAACCAAACTCGGGCCACAACATCACAATTCTCCACCTTGGCTCAAATTACGCCAAGGTCCACAATCTCCAACTACTTCTTCCACCTCCTTCACATTCACTTAAGGGCCTCAGCAACTGCAAACATCAATCAAGTTCAGACATTGTCTAAACATTATAGTAAGAATGACCCTAGTCATCATAACTGTTGGATTTTCTGTTGTCCCAATCTTCCTCACTGCAATAGCACCCAGTGCAATCACATCTCTGATGAAGTGAAACCTGACATCAATATGCTTGGTCCTCTCATGGGACATCTGATTTTTAATCGAATGTATGGCACTCTTGTTGTCATAAAACACGGTCTACATCTTATTGCAAGCCCAAATCACCAACCAAGCTTTTCAACCATATAGCTTCCTTCACTGCGTCTGTAGCTGCCATGTACTCAACCTCAGTAATAGACAATGCAACTGTGGACTGCAAAGTCATCTTCCTACTTATCACACTCCCACAAAGAGTGAAGACTTACCCTGTCAAGGACCTCATCCTATCAAGATCTCCAGCATAATCCGAATCAACATATCCAACAGCACTCCCACACGTATCGCTACCATAGACTAAGCCAATGTCTACATTGTTTCGCAGGTACCGCAATATCAACCGCACTCCCTGCCAATGGACCTTTCCATGTATATCCATGTATTTGCTCACTACACTAACTCCATATGAAATGTCTGGCCTAGTGAACACCATGACATATATGATGCTACCAACTGCAATAGCATAAGGAATACGACAGATGTGCTCCACCCCCTTCTTGGTCTGTGGTGACAATCCTATTGAAAGTCTGAAGTGGGCTGCCAATGAAGTACTCACATGCTTCAATGCTTGCATACCGAAACGTTTCAACACCTTCTTAATGTAGATCCTCTAAGACAAATACAATCTGCCCGCTTCTCTAACCCGATGAATTTCCATACCCAAAATCCTCTTTGCAGTACCAAGATCCTTCATCCTAAATTCACCACTAAGTTGAGCCTTTAACATGTTGTTGTAAACTATCAACATGTCATCAACATATAGCAACAAGTACAAATACGAACCATTTAAGAGCCTCCTATGATACACACAACTGTCAAACTCACTCCTACAGTAGCCACTCCCAACCGTAAAGGTGTCAAATCACTTGTACCACTGTTTAATAGATTGTTTCAGCCCATACAAGGACTTCTTCAGTAGGCAAATATGATCTCCTTTCCTAGAATCTCAAACCTCTCAAGCTAATGCGTATGATATAAATCTGCACTTCCAACTCACCATGTAAAAAAGCAATCATCACATCAAGCTGTTCAAGCTCCAAGGCTCCAAGTCATACAGAGCAACCATAACAAGCAACACCCTGATTGAGTTATATTTCACCACAGGAGAAAAGACTTCATTGAAGTTCACCCCTTCCCTTTGTGTAACAACCTTTCACCACCAAGCATGCCTTGAACCTCACATCTTCCACTCTTGGATTTCCTTCTTCTTGAAGACCCATTTACAGCCCACAATCTTCTGGCCCTAAGGCTTCTTAACTAGCTCACAAGTTTGATTCTTATGAAAAGACTCAATCTCCTCACTCATGGCAACAGGCCAATGTGTTGACTCTCCATTTGTGATGGCCTCATGATAAGTACATAGTACCTGCTGACCAATACCCTCTGTCACACTAAGTGCATAAGCAAACGAATCAGCATGTAAAAACCCATACTTCTGAGGTGACCTAGTCTCCCTCCTAGGTCTGTCGCTAGCCACACAACTATGTATCTCCCTCACTCCGAATCTACACCTGCTTATCAATCGACCGATCAAGATCATCCTCTAACTGAACCTCTACATTCTCCACATATTCATTGTTCACTGACATCCTGAGCCCCTATTGAATCAACTACCTCCTTTTGTGGAGTAAGCATCACAGACTCATGAAAGGTCACATCCCTGCTAACAAGTATCTTTTTTTCCAAAGCCTCTGGACACCATAATCTGTATCCCTTGACCATAGGCTGATAACCAAGAAATATGCATTTCTTAGCCCTCGATTCAAGCTTCCCCTCATTCACATAAGCATACGCAGGACACCCAAATATTCTCAGATTACTGTAACTATCAAGAAAACCAGTCATATCTCCTCTAGAGTCTTACAGTTGATAGCAGTTGATGGAGACAGGTTCACCAAGTAACTAGTTGTAGAAACAGCTTCAAACCAGAACGCTTTGCCTAACCCTTTATTAAACAACATATACCGTGCCCTCTCCAACAACATTCTATTCCTCCATTCTGCTGCGAAGTCTTCCTCACTATGTGATGTCACACAATTAGTCTTGCATAACTCATTAAATTTTCCATAAAAAATTTTCAAGCCATCACGGTATCGCCTATCCTCGAGAGCTTAATTTATTTTCCAATATGCTTCTCAATCAAGGTCTTCCACTGCTTGAATGTAACGAAAGCTTCATTCTTGTGCTTCAAAATATAAATCCAAACTTTGCAAGAAAAGCCATCAATCAACGTCATCATATATCTACCACCACCATATGAAGCAACCTGAGAGGGACCCCAAAGATCAGAATGGATATAATCCACCATACCCTTGGTTTTATGAATTCCCATACGGACTCCATTCTGCACTGCTTCCTAAAGACATAATGCTCACAAAAATCCAGCTTCCCAATTTTCTGACCACGAAGTAGACCTTGCTTACTCAGAACATCTATCCTCCTCACTCATGCCCAAGCCTCATATGCTACATTCTCGTAGTATCTGAATCCGGATCCGAAGACGATACAACAACTAAACCTATGACGATGCTACCTTACAAAGCATACAAACCATGCTTCTTCAGTCCCTTCATCACCACAAGAGAACCCTTTGAAACCCGAATAACTCCACCTCCAGCCTTGTTAGTGCACTTGATGGAATCTAACGTACCCAGGGAAGTCAAACTATTCCTCTACATGTCTGACATTAGTCAATGTCCTCCATATGTCATCATACATCTTGATTTGAACTGCACCAATACCTATTTGGACATGCGTGAAATGAGCAACGCGAATCAAGAATTCACTCATAGCAAGAGCTGGTAACATAAATTGTGAGAACATTACCACCATCTGAATCATTAACCTCTACAACAACCACACTATCAACTTCAGAGGATTTTCCCTTTCCCTTCTTATGCTTCGGAAAGTCTTTCTTGAAGTGCCCTTCCTTGTAACAAGTGTAGCATCTTATCACATTCGTTTTATTCTTAGACTTGGAATGACTTCTGCTACCAAACCCTCCCTTCTGATTCGTTCTCCCTCTAACAACCAACCCTTCTGTCGAACATTTTGTATTGCCCTCAAACACCATCCTCTGTAACTCTTTGGAATTTAGAGTTTATCTTCACGTCTTCTATGGACAAAGTAGTTCTACCATACATCATCATATCTGTGATGTTGTGGCTTGAATTTGGTGTCGGGTTGTGTAGCGACCCGTTGAACGAGCTTTGTGTGGGCCTAAGCCCACCAAAGCTTTGGGGGTTCGGGGGCGTACCCCTGAGGAAAAATTTTGATCCGTTTTTGCTTATGGGTCGTGGACCCTAATTAGTACTCTCAATATTAGGGTTTAGATTCATTATGCGAAAATCTAGAGATTACAAGTTTCAGCCCCCAAACCCTAGCTCTTACTCTCACTCTCTTTTTACGATTTTCAGTGTCTCTCTATTTCACACTCCAAACCCTAAATGCCCTTTATATAATCCTATAACGTCCAAATTTGGGCCACAACATCACAAAATCTTTACCCAATTTTTGTCCAAGAAACTATATAATGGAATGATGTATTACAAAATTCAATGGTCTCAATATACTACATCATAAAGATGTTTAAATTTAGTTTTCTATTTAAATCTTCTCCCGTTTCTCTTACATAACCTTCTGCACTCTTACTTTCATCTTGTTTTTTGAAAAACCACCAACACCAAATGCATTTTAAACAAATGACATGTTCCAGAAAGCAGATTAGAACAGTTTGTTGGTTCAAAAGAATCCAAGAAAAAATTGGCAAAAAATCTAATTAGACTGCCACTTGCCTCAAAAACTTAAGTTATTAGGTAAGGCTCAACAATATGTAACATGATCACTAACCCCCTCCCTCACGTACAACAATGGCTCACACATGAAGAAGTAAATAGGCAGGCCAAACAGCAAAACGAATGTAAATGTGGAGACTTGAACTCAAGATCTCTTTTAACCAAGGTACCACTTGCTCCAAGACCTTAAGATGTTAGGCAGTGGGCCAAACAATGTATGTCATGCTCTTTTAACAATCAAAGCGTATATTTTGCCAAAATCCACCAAAAAAGATAGCCACACTAAAAACTGAAAAAAAGTTGAAACCCCAAACTAAGAACACTCTCAGATTGAATAAAATGTGAATTTATCCATATCCATCAAAACAAACTAATACCCAAGGCAAACCAAAGAGAGAGTTGCTCTCAAATTCTTCCCCCATCAAAATGTGCTCCTAAACAGAAGGGGATCCCTAGTTATTTCGGCTACTCAATTTTTTATGACTAGCTCCATTTCTTATACTAGTTAAAACTGAATTTCATGTTGGACAAAGAATAGCAAACTTTTTTAAACAAATCCCAAAAAGAGTCTCTACAAAAAAAGTAATCCTAGTTGTGTTAAGAATTTGAGATGAAATTCCAAAAATGGGACTCTAATATATATAAACTATTCTTGCAGTATAAATATACAATGCACTTGGTATTATGACCTCAGTTTCCAAAGTGCAAACACTACATATTGTGAAATTTATACCTGATCCAAAAATTGATCATCCATGAATAACCCAGTCTCGAAGAAAAAAGAAAAAAAAAAAAAAACACATTAAAGGAATAAGCATAAGCAAATATATACATAAACATAAAAACAAAAAATAAAACCTCTTAAACCCTTAAATTTGAGCGAAATTAATAATACCCATAGATGATTTTTCACTCAAAAAGTAAAATTTGAAGTCATCAACACAGAGCCATTAACTGGAAGTGTCTTATCAACGTAAAATGAGTCAATTTATTATTAATTGAACAGACAAAAAAGAAGAAAGATTTGGAAACAAAGCAGATCAATGCGACTCTTGATTGAAAATCTACTGAATAAAAAGGGCAATCTGTGGTAGCAAACATGAAATCACAAACAGAAACAAGCAAGCATGTGATCTGTACATGTCATGTATATATATATATATATATATGAGAGAGGGACAAGACCAGAGAATCTAGAAGATGATAACTTGGATGAGAGAGATACGTACCTACAGAATTGGTGTTTGTCGAGTGTTAGTCAACGAGATTTGAGGTGTTGTGTTGTGACGTTGGACTCCAATTTGAACCAGAATATTATTTTTATTTCGCATACATGTATATAGAAACTTTTTTATATATGTTAATTTTTTTTTTTTTTCTCGTCCCCATAGTTCCCCGGCCAGGCTGGTCCACTAAATTTATTTTTCTTTGTAAAACACTTCTTGTCCTGAAATTTTTTATACATGCAAGTATATAATTTAGAGTAGTGATAGGCATAAATATGGAAAATACTCTGGTCCTGTCCTATTAAGAGGGATTGTATCTTGCATAATAACGTGTTGAGGTTGAAATTTCTTTTAAATTTAAAAAAATACAAAAATAGATTATACCTATTTTTTAAGATTAAACCCGACACAACTATTTTTTTTCCTCTTTTTGTTCCCATTTGTGTATCTTCATCTGCAACTTTTTTTTTCTTTAGTCGCCAATCATTCCAAACCTAAGATTCCTATCAGGACCTCCATCACTCTGCTTCAAATTGGATTTCGATTTTGATTTGGTCTTAACAAGGATTGATTCATTTTCTTAAAATAGATATGTTAAAACATTATATTTGTGTAATTTTTCTCTCTTTCAAATAACTTAAATCGAGTAAGAAATTTTATTCAAATTTTGAGTTTCTTTCACTTTCAAAAACAAAGACAACGGTTTCTGTTCTGTTCCATTTGCTCTCATTCTTATTTACAGAAAAGGGTAGAAAATAAAAATAAGATTGAAACCTAGAATTGAGTGAAAAAATGAATAACTTTCATATATAGCATGTATAAAAAATAGTTGAGGTGGATTTTAAAAAGGGAGAAATAGAAATAGTTAGTTCAATTTTTTTAAGGATAGTTTTTTATCTTAAGAAAATTAAAAATAAAAGAAAAAGGTAGAAAATACAATTTTTCATAAGTTAATTAAAAATAACATTCAAAGTTGAGTAAGGAAAAAAATAGATCGGTCGGGTTTAACTATAAAAAAACCAGTTAGTCTGCCGCTAATGTTCTATAGTAAGCATGCAAATTTATCTTTGACAACGTTAATTTACTTACTTAGTGGGAAGTTGTATTTGGCTCAGGTAAAGACAATTTTATTTTGTGATCACAATTATTATCCTAATTTACTAGATTTTTCATATTAGTGCCCATGCGTATGGAAAATTTGTAACTTAAGTGTCTAGTTTTGAGACACGGTGTGTCCTTATTGAAACACGGTAGGACTAATGCATGGCATGAATATTGTATTGAATAGATGCACATGCAAAATATATGTGATGTTGGAGTTGAGTTTGTTAGTATCAGTGACCATTGGTGTCTTATATCATTGATGATATATTGACGTCATTGATCATATATTAGTAGACTCGAAGGTACTCCAAATTGAATGGTAGAGGTGTTTCTTATAAATATATGGATTAACTGCTATAGTACACTCAATGATCATTTTGATCTTGAAGTGATCGGAATTAATTATTGTTAGACTAAGTGGGAGAATGTAAGCAAAATTAATAGTCTAACATTAATTTCACACAGATTAATAACTATCCATATATTTAAGAGGGGTTGCACCATATTTAATTGATGTGCATTATATCATATTAATTCCTAAAGGTGTCTCATGAATAGTCACATATGAAGTGGTGTATTGGTTGATGGAACCAACACAACTCTTCATATATAATGGACCGGTCCCAACCCTCGTCTATATATATGCATTAAAATTATGGAGTCTATCATCCTGACCGCATAGAGAAGATTAGAGGGTTGAAGGTCATCTCTAATCAGAATATGTCAGGAATATTGTACTTCTCTTCAATATAGTTTCTATATCCGGGTATGTCTTCCTCTATATAAATTTATGCATTGGAGTCATGAATCCTATTTGGGTTGTAATTGCTTACATATCTTTCATAAGAAAAATACTTGCATAAACCATGCCTAAATAACCATCAAAATACCATACGAACATGCTTGCATATACCGTGCTCAATACTTAACACACTATAAATTAAAATAAACTGCACAAACTGTATCTACCACTTGTCGTTACCATACTCCTCATACTTGTCATCTTATCAAAATCAACATGCTTTTTAATCAATATCACATAAACATTCCACACACATGGCAATGTAACATAGATTTTAGCATTTAAATATGTAAATATGCGAACATTTAGTAAGGAAAATGTCTTTCAAAACTGTGAACACATAAACATTTAAGCAAATAAGCATGTTTCTCAAATAACAAACACTTTAACACATAAGCACATAGACAATGCAATCCACCTTCCACACAACCCTATGTAGGCCCTACCCATCATCCTAATGGTTTTTGAACTATCGTTTTGACGACCCGAACCCAAGGGTCCGAATCTCTAACCGGGTTCTTACCCGAACTCGAAGTCGTCTAAGTGCATTACCGTCCTTTCCAATGTTAAGACACCTTTTACACACATACCAAGGTCAATACGTCATAACTACGTCACATACAAGCTCCATGATGGCCCAAAGTAACATTCCATTCATTCAAAAATATAAAAATGCATGTCTTATACATAGTCCCATGCTCATATACAAGAATTGTACTTTAATTACATCAAATTACAATCCATGAGGCATAATTACAATGACAAAAGTCCATAAGTCACAATACCGAATACAACAAGCTAAGGTTTTACAAAATAATGGGACTTAGATACAAAAATAACAAAATGATCTTCTAATCCAAACTAAGCCTATGGTGGAACGTCATCCGCCACTTCCCTTTCCGTGTCTTGAAAATGACAAAAATAAAGGGTGAGCACAACGGCTTAGTAGAAGTCACCCAAGGCGTCAGTTTTGGACTCCCTTGAGCCATGTAACACACAATGGGATAAAAGATATTGGGAACATGCATTGGGAGTCCATATAGCATTTACATTACAACAAGCATTATCCTCAGTCACACAATACAATTTTACAAAATGCCATGTATAATATGAAAAGTAATGCACCTTGTCACATACTTGGTCTCTACCGACCCACTTCCCACTTTTTGAGAATCGCTAACTGACTTTAACAAGGCAAGATTAATAGCTATTCCCGGTTCCAAATTCGGCAACCGTTTCGGGCCTAGTACCAACTTTTTCACACCTTACACCGGGCCGTGCTCCCTCTAGGTCAAGCTAACTCCAGACTCGCAAAATCCGGTTCATTTAAAAAAAAAAAAAAAAAAAAAAAAAAAATTCCCCTTTTAAATAAAAAGTTTTCTTTTGAAAAACTTCCCTTTCCAAAACCATTTCAAAACCCCTTTTCTTATCATGCCATGAGATGCAACATTTTTCTTACTATTAACTGCAAAGTCATCACAACAACACTAATAATACCAACATGGCATTTACAATTCCATAGACTTAAATAAGGAATTTTTAATACAATTTTTTTTCAATTATAATCATGGCATGCTCATCAAGTAATCATAATAACACAATAACATGTTATCAACTTACACATCAATATAATTTCCACATAACAAAGTCATACATGTTTTTTTCACAAAATTGAAATTAAATCATACTTTAACACTTAAACATGTTATTAACACCAACAAGACAACAATATCGTTTTATATATACAAATCTCAAAACTTTAAAGGAAAAAAAATATAGAATTGCTCAAATAAAGACAAAGCATGAGGTATTAGGAAAACCCCTACCTCAAATAGAGAACAACCAAGCAAAGCCCCAATTTTCCCAAAATTCAAAAATGGCAAGGTGCTCCAAACTGAAATTTGCTCCGATCAAAACGGAGCTCTCATCGTACTAGTCGACTTTGTCTTCATTGGCAAAGTCTAAATCTCCAAGGATAAAGAGGGATCTAAGTTTGCATAGTGGAAGAAAAATGAAAATAAAGCCTCTATATAGAGAGAAGAAAAAAATGGGAAAGAAATGAAGTCTGTAATGACTTAAAGTCATTTAGTAATGAGTATGATAAAAGTGGACCCCATGGGTTACTAAAAATCTCATTAACATAAACTTTTATATATATATATATATATATATATATATATATACCACAAGATAATACTACTATATATTTAAATATATAATCATGTACACAAATATCAAATAAATATGTATGGAATGCAATGGACCTGAAACACAATTCTCGTACACAACAACCTCGGTAGTGGATCCCACTTGGGACCTCTCGGCCCGAAAAATAAAAAAATACTGAAATGACAGTCAATACATTTTCAAGAGTCCTGAACTCAAGGAAATGCCCGAACTACTCTCAGGATACACCCGATACACCTCACGGTGTCTGACACGTAAAACGAGATAAGATGAAAATATTCCCAAAAAATAGAAAATGAGAAAACATAATTAAAGAGATGAATGCCTTTCATTCTCCTACCTCGTCTTGCTTTCTTTAATTTCCTTCACAAATGGAGCTTAAGAGTCGCCCTCTATAAAATAAAACTGCTATAATAATAATTCATTTCATGGGAGACACAACCATGCAATACATATATTATTGATTCAAGTCTCCCACCTCATTTTCAAGCAAAATGAGAAGGAGAGAAAATTTTCAAAGAAATGATCTCCTGGCAGCAAAACTAAATCGTGATCGCCGGACGTTGTCTCAACGTTTCTTGTAGACCATTCCTCCGAACCCTACAGCAGCAGCGGCACCCAAAACTCCTATCACAATTCCATCCTTCTGGCCACCACTCGGTCCACTTGAAGAGCCTTCAGATATGGGTGGCGTGTTAGCTGGAGGTGGAGGTGAATCAGGTGATGGTGGTGTTGCAGGTGGTTCGGCATCTGATGGGGTTGGGGTTGGTGCAGGTGATGGTGGTGTTGCAGTGGAAGGGCCTGGTGCGGGTGCGGGTGCGGGTTCGGGTTCGGGTGCAGATGCAGATGCAGGTGCAGGTGAAGTTGGATCAAAGTTATAATCAGTAATACTAAAAGTATATAATCAGTAATACTAAAAGAAGATAGAGGCAACGTCTAACAAGTCTTGCCATGGCTCAACGCAAGTTGATCAAACTATGACAGGTAGTGAAGGAGCTCAGAAGTCAATCCAGAGTATATATATTATAGTGTATAAAGAGAAAGAGAGAGAGTAGCCTTTAATTTAGATACAAATGTCGATAGAAGCAAGGGCTTGAAGGAGAAAAGGACAGACTTAATACTTAAAAGATATTCAAATTGGAAATTCCATCAATATGTGTTTGTGTTTGTGTTTGTGTGTGTGTGTGTGTGTGTGTGAGAGAGAGAGAGAGAGAGAAAGCAGTTGACATTTTCATAGCATGGTGCATCACGCCTGGGAAATGTTAGAAAAAGATGACCAATAAATTCGCTAAAGGCAAGAGTTCGTAACTATTGTCATTTACTTTTTACAAGAATTGTGATATAACAAGAGATTTTATACCCTCTTGGTGTTTTAGGAAAGGTCTAGCTAGAGCTTAATAATCATTTCGGGTCTTTCTTTTTTCTATTTTTGCTAGCCATAGTCGCGACTATGACTTAACGGCCGCTTGTTTGATTGATCAAGAAAATCATCAACTAATAAAAAAAATCCAATACCTTATTTTTAATTGGAACCGAATTTACCTTGAATTTCCATATGATAAACGAAATTTTTTCTGGTGTAAAAAATAAAATTGATTATACTCGGTTGTTGGCTCTACTAAGAGCTCTGCATAAATGAAGTTGAAGTGATAGCTTCCGCTTTTCTGTTTTTTTTACATAAAAACTTAGAAACAATTAACTTTGAGAATATATATATATATATATATATATATATATATATATATAATTTAAATTGTTAATTGTTTGATTTAAACTAGCCGTGTATTAGGCATTGCCAAATATAGTGGCCTAGCCAAGCTTTACTTGAGAGAACCAGAACTCAGATTTTATCTGGTAAAATATTTCTTGCACTTTTTTTTTTTTTTTTTTCACAATGTTAATATTCATACATTTTTTCTATTTGTGCTAAGCACCTTGACATGCGAACCAGGAAAATAACAATACTATTATAATAATTTGAGAAGACCCTTCTATATTAAAATAATACTTTGCAATTATATATTATCACTCGAAAAAAATAAATAAATTTAAACAAAAAAATATATTGTATTAGCTTAAAAAAATATATATATTGTATTATATTAAAATTACCGTATCTGGAGCTACTGTCATAGTAGATTAACTAAAAAATTATCCCACAAAGAAGAAAAAACATGATGATGTTATATATTATAGTAGGGCCCACAAGTATATTATATCTATGCAAATGGATATAAGAATTGTAGGCCTACAACTTATATCAGTAATGATTACACCAAAATGATATGCACGAAGGAATCATATCTGATTGGTGCTGTGTCTCTGTTATAGCAAGTTAGTTCTCATATTTCTTTTACAATAGATGAAGATTTCTTCCCTTTTTCGGAGGAGGGGTAAGAATGAAAAATTAGCACTTCCTTTTTGTTGTTACTAGAATTTCCTAAAAAATTTAGAAATGGCAAAACATAAAGAGATGAATGCCTTTTATTCTCCTTCCTCGTTTTGCTTTCTTTAATTTCCTTCACAAATCGAGCTTAAGAGTCGCCCTCTATAAAATAAAACTGCTATAATAATAATTCATTTCATGGGAGACAAAACCATGCAATACATATATTATTGATTCAACTCTCCCACCTCATTTTCCAGTAAAAGAGAAGGAAAGAAAATTTTCAAAGAAGTGATCTCCTGGCAGCAAAACCAAATCGTGATCGCCGGATGTTGTCTCGACGTTTCTTGTAGACCATTCCTCCGAACCCCACAGCAGCACCGGCACCCAAAAATCCTATCACAATTCCAGCCTTCTGGCCACCACTCAGTCCACTTGAAGAGCCTTCAGATACGGGTGGCGTGTTAGCTGGAGGTGGAGGTGATGGTGTTGCAGGTGGTTTGGCATCTGTTGGGGTTGGGGTTGGGGTTGGGGTTGGTGGAGTTGATGGTGGTGTTGCAGTGGAAAGGTCTGGTCCGGGTGCGGGTGCGGATGCAGGTGCGGGTGAAGTTGGATCAAAGTTAATAATCAGTAATACTAAAAGAAGATAGAGGCAATGTCTAACAAGTCTTGCCATGGCTCAACACAAGTTGATCAAACTATTAACTATGACAGGTAGTGAACGAGCTCAGAAGTCAATCCAGAGTGTATATATATATATTAGTGTAGAAAGAGAAAGAGAGAGAGAGAACCGTTAATTTAGATACAAATGTCGATAGAAGCAAGGACTTGAAGGAGAAAAGGACAGACTTACAAGAGATTCAGATTGGAAATTCCGTCAATATGTATGTGTTTGTGTGGTTGTGGGTGTGTGTGTGTGTGAGAGAGAGAGAGAGAGTGCAGTTGACATTTTCATAGCATAGTGCATCACGCATGGGAAATGTTAGAAAAAGATGACCAATAAATTCGGTAAAGGCAAGAGTTCATAACTATCGTCATTTACTTATTACAAGTATTGTGATAACAAGAGATTTTATATTCGAATTTCAAATAATACTTTTCTCACTTCAAAGTATGTTATGGTTATAGAAACGATCGATCGACCTAAGAGAGTAGGATCCCAATTCTCCCAGCACAAGTTATATAAGATACCAAAAAGAAAGAATAGCTTGAGAGAGGAAGGAATTAAATGAAATGACAAGGCATGAAAAAGTTTATTGCTTTTCACAGACTTCAAAGGGAAACAAGCTATCAGAGTTCTAAATTGAACACTAACTGCAACAGAAAGATAAATTTATTATGAGATTTGTTCCCCCTCTTTCTTGTCAGCCATTTTCATATCTATGTAACTAGCACCTTATCTAACAAAAAAAAAAAAAAAAAAAAACCCTCTTCCGATGTGATAGAACCTCACAATTCATCCTTCACATTGTCGCTACTGCTCTTCTCCTCCTGGCTCTCTTTGGGTTCAGAAACCTTGGGTTTCTGGGTAGAGGCTGGCTTCTGGAGCTTGAAAGGGGTGGTGGCTTGCTTCTTAAGGAATTTGTAGAACGCCACTACTGTACGGTCAGTGTCCACAGTGATCTGCAAAACCGAAAATCAAACAAGGCAATATCAAATAAATTGTTAGGAGTGTGGTATATAAAATAAAAAAGGTGGGGGTAAGAGAGAGCCAATCGTTGCACTGACCGGATCAAAGCTCTTATTGCCAGCTGGGAAGAAAAGAAGCGTAGGGAAACCATCAGCCTGCAGATACAAAAAACACAACTTATACTTTGTATTCAATTTTATTGTCGAAGAGCATAATGGAGGAGAAATGTTACAAGTTATAACATTCAGCCACTCCATCCATCCAACAAGTGCATACTGAGTTCATCGTTATCCTATCTCTCTCTTTTTTGGGCGTGGGAAAATGAGCAACTAGATGAGAGTATTCGAGGCAAAAGAGAATCTACAACAGAATGAAGGCTTTTGCAATTTTGCAATTAGTACCTTGGCCCTTGGGTGCTCATTTGTGGTTCCATCCATCTTGGCTATAACAAGTGAATCAATGCCTCTTACATGCTTGGCGAGTTTGTTGTATATTGGCTCCAGTGATTGGCAATGCCCACACCAAGGAGCATATATCTGATTTGAAACCAGAAAGCCAGTCACAACCAGACATCAGAATGAACCAATAATAAAAAGGATATTGATTGCAATTATATATCACTGTTGATGAAGAAAATTAATACCTCAAGAAGAACGTCTTTTGACTCATCCAGAACAATTTCATCAAAGTTGTTGCCAACCACTACTTTTACATCCCCGTCGTTCTATATGAATTCATATGTGGAAAAGTAAGTTAGACCAAGGGCATGAGAATGCATATCAATCAACAGCGCAATTAAGTCCAGCAACTTACCTTCTCCGGTATTGGATCAGACTTGTAGAACGGCTTAAGCTTGTCTTCTAGGAAATTCTCTCCAAATGACTATAGGATGACAGAGATCATACAATAACAGAAAATAAGTAATATTTGTGCAAATCTCAGTGTCATCCAACATAAAACTAGAAGAATGCTAGTGAATACAAACCTTAATGCTGCTCAAGGTTAATTCACCATCCAAAACAAACTTTCTCGCATCATCATTTCCTGTGTATGCTATGACCTGCACGTAAATGAACACACATACCAAAATCAAGTTTATTTTATTTCATGCAATTTAAGATTGATGAGAAATGGGGAAAAAAATGAAAACTCACTCTAGGAGCATCTCCAGCAACACCAAAGTATTCTGAAACTGGTTTCCCAACATCATCATTGTCCTTTTCCACGTAAACAAAGAGAAGCTGCAAGAAAGTCATAATAAAAATAGATTATAAAATGGAAATGAGTTTGCATAAGAACAAGGATACAATCAAAGTACAGAAATGTCTACTTCAAGAGCACATAATATAAAGGAAACACTGAAAGGAAGTGTGATATGGTACACTTCCCTTCATTGATGAAAAATGTGCCATTTGTTGACATGAGACTCGTACAGAAGAGTACATTTTCATTTACTTCAAAATTAATGGCTGGTCTATATATATATTTTTTGATAAGTAAGAAAAATGCATTAGAAAAGTGTTCAAAAGGGAACGCATCCCAAGAACAACACAAAGGCCGCAAGGGACCCTAAGGCCCAAGAAACCCAGAAATTCAACTGTCTCCTCTAGGGATGAACAATGTCCGGTCTATAATTACTGTGATAATATTGCAGTTGGATTTTACTATTGAAGGTAACTTTCTATGGCTCCTCAGTTTAACAGGACTAAACTTAAAGACATTTAAACATATATATGGTTACAAAGAGATAGAGTCAACAAACAAAAGATCCTTCCTACGTCCTCAACATGAACCTCAAAAGAAAAGATGCTTTGCCAAATATATTCAACACGAAGAACTAGGTAGTTCATTCTTGTCCTTTCTCCACAAACCAAACTGACACCATCTTAGGCTACACCCAGCAAATTCCAAGAAGAGAAAACTAATTGCCCAAAGTTCCTGAGCTACCTAACAATTTAAGAAAAGGTGATCCACTGATTCCCATGCCCCTTTTACACACACCTATTTGAAGCACACCAGTCTGTAATAAATTAATAATTAGATGATCTACAAGGCATTTTTCTTCATCCCCCATTCATGATAGAAAAGCCACCTCTGGGGACTAATGGCACCCCAAAACCACTTTTACACAAAAAAACAAACTTGTGAATGATACACTGTCTAGATTGGGAAGGTTGCCAGGTCTGATACATGTCGTCACTATTGTAATGTAATGCCCTTTTATGCAACTCCATGGATCATAGTGAAGATATTACCATTGAAAGGCAAATAAAACAATTATATACAGAAAAAATCCCTACACTAGACAAATGACAAAGATATCCCCAAACAAAATGGTCAAGTCAATAACAGAGACAAGCATTTTGGTTTGACAATTCCCATGTAAGAAATCTGGATGATTCAACCAATTGGCAAAAAGGACATCCATTAGGACATAGAATAGGATAAAGATTGTAGAGATTAGCATAACAGAAATAAATTACTATTATCATGGCTAAGTCCGAGTTCTGAAAGCCAACAGATTCATCCTGTGGATGGTGTTCATAATGAGATACTCAAAACAAGGGTAAGTTTCGATATTCACCTTTCCCTTGAAAGCTTTTGCTGCCTCATGGAATGCAGGTAAAAACTTCTCTGAATCCTTCGAAGTAGCAAAAAGCAACAACTGGAGAGGAAAAAAAATGTAAACACAATAAAATATTAGAATCCCTTCATATGAGACAAGAGGCATTAGCACAAGGAGTTACCTGTTTCTTAATCGGATTCTCAAATATTAGTGGAGCACTTTCCCTTGTAAAGGTAGTCACCAGAGGAAGCTTGTTCTCAAATACAAATTCAGCTATTGCCGATTTGGTGAATTTACTATCTGCAGACCTTACTGTAAGTGTGAGTTTTTGTGAAACATATTTAAAGTAACCAAATCATTTGAGATGTTGAGAAAACTTACCGAAGTGGCTAATTTTTTCAGCCTCCTTCTTCAACAAGACCAGAGCTGGACGTTTTAATTTAGGATCGATGTGGAAAAGCTTTGCCACATCAGGACTAGCAGTCTGATAGAAGTTGACATCATCTTCCAGTCTTGAAGCAGAAGCAAGCTCCTCATTTTCTGGACCCTGGAAATATTGTGTGCGATTGAGTTTTAAAGCAAATTAATCAAAGAGCAGTTTTTGCACTCACATATTTCCCACTTCAAGAATTGCAATAGTTAATCTTATGGAAGTTCAGAGGCTCGGAGGCTGCACGCTGAACTTGGTGTCTTATGCTATATCAAATGGAATTAACCATTTATAACTGCCACAAATTAATTAAATAACTGGAGTGGTAAAGGTTAATTTGGAAATTAAAAAATTTACTGAGGCTCATTTTTTTTTTATTGAGTTTGACCTGAACAAGTCCATGAAAACACACAAGCTACTGAAACTTTCAACTAGATAAGATTAATCACTATACACATTTTAATAAGAATTGATTTTTGTAAGCTGATAAGTATAGTTCATTATTTATGATTTTTATGATCTCATGATATATCTAAGGCCCCATAAATTTCTACTAAACCAAAAGAATAAAGTTAAGTACATTATTTTACAGTACTTTATGTTTATAGATTGGAAAATGGAAGTATAGAGAAAAATATAGTTACAGGGGGAAACACCACGATAAGAAACACTCCTACTCAATAATCAACAAAAAACTTGAGAAAAACTTTAGCGATATTAAAAAACCATGGTATCAACCTGGTTTTGTTGTCGACTATATCTCTAGCAACTTATTGTCAAGGTAATTCAGAGAATGCAAGGAGTGAAATATAAGGGGTACTCAACTCATATGCATGTCATGGGGAGGGAAACTAATGGGAAATTTAATAATACTTGGCTATAGATGTCAATAAAGATAAATAAGAAGAAAAAATAAAAACACAACTTGATTGAGGAAATACCACCAAATTGTCAAGGAAGCCCAAAACTATTATTGATTCGGCAGTCAATATACGTTCTGCTTCCTCTATTGTTGTAACATTATGTATACCTGGGCCCGTCTTCTTCTTCACCCAAGTCACAATAGCATCCCTGCAAAGTTTCAAGCATGAATAAATAATGCAAAATGAGATCTGATTAAACCAACTAGCAGAAGAGATAACAGTATTTGCTCATAAAATGTACAGTGATAATCTAAAAATTGGTATTGTTATTATAATTTCTTAAAATGGCACCCTAACTTTCATAACGTGATTAAAAAAAAAAAAAACCTTCAATATGTTCAGTCTGAATCCTGAGAGTAAATAAGCTCATGTTTGGGTGGAAAACAGAATTTTAGATTGCCCTAACTTTCTCCTGTTCTTGACTTTCCCAAAGGTACCCTCCCAGCAAAGTTTTAAATAACTCCATTCCCACTCTTGCTTCAGCAACCCAGTCCCAAACCACCATTGATCATGTCTTCATGAGAACCCAAATTCTTTGTCCTCATCATCTCCATTTTGATTATTTGCGAAACATATGATCATATCACCTTGGGTCGTCATATATTTTTTTGAAGTTTAAGATTATCTTCTCTTTACAAGCTCCTCTTTGAGACATCTTCTTATACTTCCACTGGTTTCCTCTTCAATTGTAATTGGAAATTGAGGATTACGAATTTGCAAAAGATTGAACTGAATTTCTAAGAATTATTCGAATCTTCTGATGCTATTTCAAGTGTTATTCTTTTAATTACTGTATTTAATATAACGTCAAACGTAAGTTGGCAGTAAGAGGAAACCCGCTATGATGGACAGGAAGTGAGATGAGCTATGGCAACTTGAAATTGCTGAGTCCACAATGGAAAACACCATTCATGTGATAGATTATTGACCAATGGGACAAACACGAGCGAAGGTGCTTGCCAGAGTAGCAAGGGTTCAAACAACTGTTCTTCATTTGTTTCTTCTGTAGTGTAAATTAGTTTCTTGAATATAGAAATATTAACATGTTGAGCACAGACATTGTTGAGGGTAATTGGGGGCTTTTAGAAAAATGGTATTGAAGATTCCATCAATTATGATAAAATTGAGCTTATTGAAATGACATTATTGAGAATTTAAATCAAATTCTTCCCTTTCTTTTTTCTCCATTTCCATAGCACATCCAGTTAATGAGATAAATAAACACAATTCAAAATCAAATTCACCAAAAAATCAAAGCAATTGAAAAAATACTTACTTGTGCCTCTGACCAGAATAAGGCTTGTGAATCCCATCAATGAAGAAAAACACAGTAGGAAATCCCTGAATCTCATACTTCTGCGCCAGCTCATTCTCCTCCGTGGCATCCACCTTCGCCAGCACCACCTCGCCCTTCAGCTCCGTGGCGGCCGCCGCGTACTCCGGCGCCAGAGACTGGCAGTGCCCGCACCACGGCGCGTAGAATTCCACCATCACGTACCGATTCTTCGCCACGAAGTCGCTGAAATTCGATTCCTTCAACACAACCACGTCCTTCTCGTCGAACTCCGGCGGCGTGTACGAGTCGTGGCCGTCGGAACCGGACGACTCCTCTTCGAGGTCGTCGTAGTTCTCGAAATCTCTCTGGTGATTCGGATCTGGTTGTGACGAAACGGCGTCGTCCTCTTCGAGGAAACTAAGATCTTCGTCGAGATCATTATCGTCTTGTTTGGAGAGAGTTGCAGAGAATAGATTGAAACAGAGAAGGAGCGAAATTAAGAGAATGAGAAGAGTTCTGGTCGCCATCGTTGAGGCGTCTCCCTCCGGACAATGCAGAGAGAGATTTTTAGAGAGAGAAAATTTCTAGAGAGAGAGAGGGGATTACAGTCTGCGGAGCGATTAGCGTGGGTTTTATTTGTATCATCATTACAGTGTGTAGAGTCGAGCAAGTGAAGGCGTTACACTCGCACTGGCGCATTCAGTGCGTGAATCGAGCTTATGATTGCCACGTGGTGAGCGGAGATTCTGTTTGGAAGAGTAAGAACGAATCGTGGAGAGACGCGTGTTATTGTGAGTCACACTACATGACTCTGACCTTACGAGGCTAATATAAGTCGTCGACGGATCTCAGATTCGAAGTTTGGGTGGTTTTAATTTTATGGAAGGTGACGGACTAGTGGATTAGAATGTGTGTATTAAATTACTATTATTATTTGATTAGGAGACTATATTTGTGCTTCAGTTTTTTTTACATTTGCACTTTATTTTATTTATTTTTCTTAATGTGAAAGACAAAAAAATTCATAAATTAATTAATGCATCACTTCTTATTTTATTATACCATAATTACCCTTTGCACTATAATTTTTTTTTTTTTTTTTTTTTTTTACCTCCTTTACTTAATCTAAAATTATAATTTAACGTTGCAATAAACCAATTGTTTATATGGAATATTAAATGTACTAACTAATTTTAGATAAAATTGCCATTTCATCGTCATCTTCTTCACTTTTTTTTTTTCTATATCAGTTATTCCTTTTGTTGAAAATTCCTCTTTCTATAAAATACTTTTTTTGAAAAATAATTTTTGATTTTTTTTTTTCAATTAATTAATAGTATATTTTGTTAATGTTTCAAAAAAAAAAAAAAAAAAAATTATACCCCAAGGAGAAAAAAAAAAAAAATTAGAGAAAATATTTTGAAGGTGAATTCTATTGACGTAGGTTTTGACATAATATGCATCTCAATTTTTTTATTTTTTTGTTTTTTTTTTTTATAAAATCCTTGTTTTTGAAATTTTATTGTCAAAGTAGTTAGGGCTTTTCTTTTCAACCAAAAAAAACTTTAGAATTTAAATAAATTTCAAATTAATTCTTAAAAATCACATGAAGAAAAAAAATTGAAATTAAACTCAAAACACACCAAACAAAAGGGAAAAAAATATATAAAATTACCATCACAAACCACATCAATTGTGTTGAATGGCTAATGAAGTATTGATAATTCTTACATGCTTTCAGTGCTAATATTTCATTTTTACATACAAAGATTAATATTAAACCCCAATGGAAAAAGATGGAGAGAGTGAAACAAATATATATTTCTATAATTGAGAGAGTAATTGTTGTATTTGAAAAAAATAATTATTAATTTATAAAATTAGGGATAGAAGTGTCATTTCCCTAAAAAAGTTGGATGTATTAATATGGTAATTCATAATTACCATTTATAATTTTGAATTTAAGATTACAACGATGACACGATATATTTATTGTTGTCTTTTGAATTGAATTAAATCCATTATTCCATCTAATTAATATATGAACGGACAATAAAGTAAGGAATCAGGTACTTGTGCAAAAGTATTGTGAATATTTTTATCATTTACTCTCTTCATCATCACACTTTAATAGTTTATCTTTCTTTCCTTTTTTTCTTTGGTTTTCCCAACGCACGAGCCTTATATAAAATTTTAAAATAGAATTAATGCATTTTCATAAATACACTTCAAGTTTTGGAATATTTAATATAAATATTTAAATTTTAAAACGTAATTTGAGATTTTTAAAAAAGAAAGGGATGACAAAACTTGACACGCCACGTCAAAACGATTCGAACACGAGAATAGATAAATGAGTTTGGGTTTACCTTAAATGAATTTGGGGTTGACACAATTAACCCGTTTAATTAATAGTGTCATATTAGAGTTGAGGGGTTCAACACATATAACCCGTTTAGACCAATTTAACTAAAAGTAAAATTTCATAATCGTAATAACATCACTCGTATAATTCATTATTTGTTTAAACCTAATTACTAAAGACAACAATATTTATTAGTTCTTTAGTTGATGTATATATTTTTTGTATTATTTATTATTTGATTGAGTATTATAAATAATTTAAATAATATAATGTCTGATTTTGGTAAATGGGTCATTAAGCTCGTTAACACGTCTAACCCGTTCAACAAATAGATCGGGTTAGAGTTGATGATTTCTGACACAATTATTAAATGGGTTGTTTTAAGTTAACCTCTTAAGTGGAATACCCTTAAGTTAACATGATACGATTATGATACACGAACACGAATTACTACCCCTAGCATTAATGCTAGTAGTCAATCATACTCAAATGACTCTGGGTTGGCCTGGGATTAGCATGACGCCGAATTAAAGATTGAATTGGATTTAACTCTGATGTTAATGCTTGTGGTCAGTAAAGGTGGCAAACTCAAACGCCTCTAGGTCTGATCTTGGCCTAGGATTGAGCATGACACCAGATCAATAATTGGATTGAGTTTTACTATGATACGAACGGTAAGTCGAACGTTTACCCTCGAATTCAAAAGCTTAAGCTATTAAATAATATGCATGTTCACTTATTTATATTCATTTCACTTTCCATTCAAATCTGCTTTGGATCAAGCATTTTTCCTTCTAGGAATTTTTTTTAAAAAAAAAAAAAAAATTTAAAAGAGAAATTTATTTTCTTTGTTTGATTGTATTAGAATTGCAAAGAAAAAGAAACTATTACGGAATAAAGAGGAAATAATTTTAAATGAACCCAATTTCTCTTTACCAAAAAAGACCTCCAATAGGGTTGGCATGACTCGGTACCTAGTCAACAACATGAAAATTTTATATGTTGAAGAGAGAAACTGCGCTTAAACTTGAAGAATTGCTCAAGACAATTGGTATGATCATCTAAAAAAGGCAGTGACTCTTCGAATTGGATAGAATGAGAAGGGATAAGCATCAAATACAATGAACCAAAACATGAATATAAAAATAAAAATTCAATTCTAGCCAAAATGAGAGATGTTATGATGAAGCATATAATTGTGCAGTTTTTTTAATCTATCTTCTTCTGTAACTTATTTCAAATAACTATTTAACACTGTCATTTGATACGGCGTGAAGGATCAGCTTCGTTTCCCGTAAGATTCAGACGAAACTACAAACTTATAAACTAAAAGGCTGCTTTGTAAAATATGGTTTCCTGTCAATTTATTTTCACAGTCTCACTTGTACAAAGGAGGATTCAATGACCAGAAGTGCTCCCAAATGGGGGTATTGTCAGTTTTCTTCCTCATCAAGAACTGCAAATACTTAAAAACATTCAATATCAGAGGGCAAAGCTTTTTGTTAATTAGGGGCATCAAAATGTTGTATGCAAATCTTTACTAAATCTGATATCAAGGAAGGCTAAATTAGATGACAGTGATATGGAGAAATTATAACCATAACGATGAAAAACTCAAAAAAAAAAAATATATATATATATATATATATATATAGAACGCAGCCCAAATCTAGTTAATCTATTTCAGTCCTTGCAGAAAAGCAGACACCAAATGGCATAGAATAAAACTCAACTCTAGGAACCCCATTGCAGTTCCGTAATACCAAAAAGTGTAATCAGAAACTTGAGCATAGGATCAGGAGGTAGTGATTGAAAACTCATTTAAAGAAAACATAGCTTCAATAAAAAGCAAAGCACAATTCAATAATACCCTTTCAGCAGTACAACAAAAACAACTAGGATGATCACATGGAAGGAAACTGAAGCCAAAATCGCAAACAAAAACAAGACAAGTGTTTTCACCAAGAAAAATTACGAAATTTTTATATCGTCCAATGAAGTTCTAGGTGTCTTCACCTTAATTTGCTTTACCATCAAGGCTTCCCAAATGAAAGTACATTTTTTCATTACTTTCATCTCCCATGTGCAGATATGTTGAAACATATTATTGCTTTCCATCAAACCTACCTCCCAAGGGCTTGAAAAGGCTAATAGAAATGAGATGATTGATCGACGGGTACAACGTCACGCATTAAGAAAATGACTTTCTTTACCATCACTTAAAGAAAAAACAATTATCAATGTGCACTCGAAATTCTAATTCCAAAATAATAATGAAAACCGAGGCAAATACAAATTCAAAATAACTATATCTGAATTATAGTGGCATCATGAAAATCCTTTCAGAAAACTGTAGATTTCCCAAAACAATATGAAAGTCATCATAAGCAAATTATTCTTAGCTCCCCTATTGATCTATATATGATACATATATTTTAATATGTGCTGATTAAATAAATTTTCTATCATCATGTGTATTTCAATATACTCGAGATATTTTATTGCGTATGCTCGTAAGAATAGAAACATTCAGCGGAAGTTCTAAGAGTTATGCAGAAAATTGAACTATTAATACCTTTCCTTCATGTGAGAATGTAGTTTCTTCTCTGGATTACTAAGTTAAAATGATCTTAAATACACTCCTTGCTCATCCTTGTGGTGTTGCAGTCCACGTACCAGTAGTCAATGACTCGATGCTGCTTGTAACATATTATTATTCTCCTGTGTATGTTTAGTAGTCAATGCAACAGCATGCTTCTTAAGGAATTCATAGAATGCCACAACTGTATGGTCAGTGTCCACAGTGATCTGCAAAACCAAAAATCATACAAGGCCATCAAGTAAAATGTTAGAAGCGTTGTATTACTTTGTTTAAAAAAAAAAATTACACATCACATCGGTTTGAAAAATACAAATTGCACTAACCGGATCAAAGCTCTTATTGCCAGCTGGGAAGAAAAGAAGCGTAGGGAAGCCATCAGCCTATAGATGCAAAGAAATGTTACAACATTCAGCCACTCCATTGATCCAACACGTGAATGCTCTAATAAATCATTGCTCTCTTTTTTGGTGTAGAAAAATGAGCAACTAGAGAATGAAAGTATTGGAGGAGAAAGAAAATCAACAACTAAATGAAGGCTTTTGCAATTAGTACCTTGGCCCTTGGGTGCTTATTTGTGGTTCCATCCATCTTGGCAATAACAAGTGAATCAATGCCTCTTACATGCTTGGCGAGTTTGTTGTATATTGGCTCCAGCGATTGACAATGCCCACACCAAGGAGCGTATATCTTCCAGAAAACCAGCCACAACCAGATATCAGAATGAACCAGTAATTAAAAGGGAATTGATTATGATTAGATATCACTGCCAATGAAGAAATTTAATACCTCAAGAAGAACATCTTCTGACTCATCCAGAACAATTTCATCGAAGTTATTGCCAACCACTACTTTTACATCTCCGTCATTCTACATGAATTCATATGTGGAAAAGTAAGTTAGACCAAGGGCATGAGAGTGCATATCAGTCACCAGCGCAATTAAGTCCAGCAACTTACCTTCTCTGGTATTGGATCTGACTTGTAGAAAGGCTTAAGCTTCCCTTCTAGGAAATTCTCTCCAAATGACTATAGGATGACAGAGATCATATAACAACAGAAAACTAATATAGATTTTAATTCCTCGGAGAACTGATATTTGTACAAATCTCAGTCTCGACCAACATAAAACTAGAATAATTACATAAAAGGAACAGTGAATTCAAACCTTAATGCTGCTCAAGGTCAATTCACCATCCAAAACAAATTTTTTCGCATCATCATTTCCTGTGTATGCTAGGACCTGCATGTAAACACCCATACCAAAATTATGTTTTTTTTTTTTTTTTTTCTTTCCAAGCAATTTTGGATTCATGAGAAATGGGAAAAACTCACTCTAGGAGCATCTACAGCAGCACCAAAGTATTCTGATTCTAGTTGCCCAACATCCCCACTGTCCTTTTCCACGTAAACAAAGAGAAGCTGCAAGAAAGCCAAAAAGATAATGAAAATAGATTATTAAATGGAAACTGAGTTGCATTAGAACAAGGATACAATCAAAATACACAGATGTCAACTTCAAGAGCACATAATATAAAGGCGATGCTAAGGAAGTATGATATAGTACATTTCTCTTCATTATGAACAATGTGCCACTTGTTGACATGAGACTCGTATAGAAGAATCCACTTTCATTTACTTCGAAAGCAATGGTGGGTCTATATTTACTGTGATTATATTGTAGTTGGACTTTACTATTGAAGGTAACTTTTTATGGCTCCTCACTTTAACAGAATTAAACTTAAAAGACATTTAAACATATATCTGTCCATTTTTATTGAAAAAAAAAAGAAGTTATTGAAACCTTAACAAGCGGAATCAAACTGAAATGCACCTGGGGCATACACAGATCTAATTACAAAGAGAGAGAATTCTAAAGTCAACAAACAAAAGATCCTTCCTACATCTTCAACATGAACCTCAAATGAAAAGATGCTTTGCCAAATAAACCAACACAAAGAAATAAGTAGTTCATTCTACTCCTTTCTCCACAAACCAAACCAACATCATCTTGTTGACTTGTTCACCATCTGAGGCTACACGCAGCAAATTTAAGAAGAGAAAACACAATTCTCCAAAGCTCCTGAGCTACCTTACAATGTAAGAGAAGGTGTGATGTAGGACAAGAGCAGCCTCGAATAGTTGAAACATATAAGAGTTTATTGGCTGAAAATTCTAATTAACAGGATTGGGTTCAAGACGTGTTAGTTAAAGAAAGGATTTGGAAATAACAAAAACCTATTGGAATCACACCAACAGGTCTAGGCATCACGCCTAGAGAAGGCCTCACACCCTCATATTTTGTGAATCACTCACAAAGAAAGTTCAAAGACATTTCTTTATTCATTCATTCACCGAATCACAAAGTTTACATCCTATCCTTTTTATAGCAACTTATGACCCTTGGATTACCCCATAATTGAGCTAATCAATAGTTGACTCTGTAGCATAATAAAAGTAACCAATATTTGACTGATGCAAATTACCATAACTATTCAATTTGACCAAACCTCCCAATTATGCCAAGACTCCAAGCGGAGCCCACTTCATCTAGCACGTGCCAAATTAAGACTTGAGCCTTAGAACCCTCCTTTTTGCCCCTTTTATACCCCTTTAAAGATTGTTGCCATAGATCTCCATCAAGGTGATCCACTGATTCAGTCCCCCATTTTACACACCAAACAATATGGTCAAGTCAATAACAGAGCCAGGCATTTTGGTTTGACAATTCCCATGTACGTAATCTTGACGATTTAGCCAATTGGCAAAAAGAACATCCATTAGAACATAGAATAGGATAAAAAAATTTAGAAATTGCATAACAGAGCTAAATTATTATTATTTGTTAGAGAATATATGGAGAATGCATATTGTATTGCATTATTGAAGAGTACATAAGGGTCCTATATATAGGACAACATTTTGGGGTAGGTGAGTGTTCATCAAGTAATCTATACATGGTAACTAGGTAGGTGTACGTATCCATGGTAACTAGGTAGGCGTAGGTGTGCTGGAAACCTACGTGGTAGGTAGGGGATATTATAGTACCTTTGTAATATAAGATCCCCCCTCAAACTCAAGTGTGTTATATGCAAACAACTTGAGTTTGGAAACGAGATCACGAAAGTGGCCCAGAAAAGATTTGGTGGAGATGGGTTTTCACCCATGATGTAGCTGACGTGTTTGATGACATGGCAACTAACGTGGTAGGTGACTTGGCACCTCTGTTGCATGGCAACTTGGCAACTGATGTGGTAGGTGACGTTGCACAAATACTGGCACCGTTGCTGATTGTGTCTGTCATTGAACCGATGTTAACGTGTCTAACATTGCAGGTAAGGACAAATTGATGGCGTTGGTGAAGGTGGAGGTGTGACAAAAAAAATTTGGGAGGCGCGTGAGAGCGCATGGAGTCTTTTTTCAGGGATGTTTTTGACAGCATTTCAACAGTCTAAGGCTGTTCTTTCTAGTGATGTGATCTGAAACTTGAAATAGTTCCTGGAAGACCTATTCCAATGAGTGGAAGTGATTGAACACCATGTGTGGAGTGACAACACTGATGGCGGAACGGTGGTGGAGTGTGATGTTTTTTGGCGGAGGAAAAAAAATACTACTAGATGGTTTTGTTTGTAGAATTTTGACAATTGACCGCCGCCGGAGATGGAGATAATGGTGCCATCCCCGGCGGTGAGCACGATAAACTGATAAGATTGTTACCGACAGACTCTGATTACATGTTAGAGAATATATGGAGAATGTATATTGTATTGCATTATCAACGAGTACACAAGGGTCCTATATTATAGGAGAACATTTGGGGGTAGGTGCGTGATGATCAAGTCATCCGTACATGGTAACTAGGTAGGTGTAGGTATACATGGTAACTAGGTATGCTCAAAACAAGGGTCAGTTTCGATATTCACCTTTCCCTTGAAAGCTTTTGCTGCCTCCTGGAATGCAGGTATAAACTTTTCAGAATCATTCAAAGTAGCAAAAAGCCACAACTGGAGAGGGGGGAAAAAAACATTATGTAAAATTGTGAAATATTAGAATTCCTTCATATGAGATAAGAGGCATTAGCACAAGGTGTTACCTGTTTCTTAATCGGATTCTCAAATATTAGTGGAGCACTTTCCCTGGTAAAGATGGTCACCAAAGGAATCTTATTCTCAAATACAAATTCAGCTATTGCCGATTTGGTGAATTGACTATCTGTAGACCTAACTCAAAGTGTGAATTTTTGTGAAACGTATTTAAAGTAGCCAAATCATTTGAGATGTTGAGAAAACTTACTGAAGTGGCTAATTTTTTCAGCCTCCTTCTTCACCAAGACCAGAGTTGGACGTTTTGAATGAGGATTGATGTGGAAAAGCTTAGCCACATCAGGACTAGCAGTCTGATAGAAGTTGACATCATCTTCCAATACTGAAGCAGCAGCAAGCTCCTTGCTTTCTGGACCCTGCAAATATTGTGTGAAATGAAGTTTAAAAGCGAAATAATCAAAGAGCAGTCTTTGCACTCACATATTTCCCACTTCGAGAGTCACAAAGGTTTATCTTATGGAAGCTCAGAGGCTGCACAATAAACTTAGTGTTTCTTATGCTATATAAAATGGAATTAACCATTTATAACTGCCACAAACTAATTATATAACTGGAGTGGTAAAGGTTAATTTGGAAATTAAAAAAATTATCTACTTGAAAAAAAAATAATAATAATAATTTCTTGGGCTCATTTTATTAATATTATTTTCCCCCGAGTTTGACCTGAACAAGTCCATGAAAACACACAGGCCACAAGAGCCTTCAACTAAATAAGATTAGTCACTATTCACACTTTATTAGGAGTTGATTGATTTTTGTAAACTTATAAGTCTATTTCATTATTTATGATTTTTAGGATATAATGATATATTTAAGGACCAATACATTTCAATTAAACCAAAAAGAATAAAGTTAGAAGAACATCGTTTTTCAGTACTCTATGTATTAATAGATTGGAAAATGGAAGTATAGAGCAAAATATAGTTACCAGGAAAAAACACACTAAGAAACACTTCTCCTCAATAATCAACAAAAACTTGAGAAATACTTTTAGCAGTGTTAAAAAAGCATAGTATCAACCTGGCTTTGTTGTAGACTATATCTCTACCAACATATCGTCAAGGTAATTCAGAGAATGCAGCGAGTAAAATATAAGGGGTACTCAACTCATATGCATTTCATGAGGTGGGAAACTAACGGCAAATTTAATAATACTTGGCTATAGATGTCTATTAAGGAAAATAAGAATAAAAATTGAAAACCCAAATTGATTGAGGAAATACCACCAAAGCGTCAAGGAAGCCCAAGACTATTTTTGATCCAGCAGTCAATATTCGTTCTGCTTCCTCTATTGTCGTAACATTGTCAATACTTGGGCACGTCTTCTTCTTCACCCAAGTCACAATAGCATCCCTGCATATTATAGTTTGAAGTTTCAAGCAAGAATAAACAATGCAAAACTATATCTAGTTACACCAACTAGCAGAAGAGAGAACAGTATTTGCTCATAAATGTACAGTGATATTCAATCTAAAAATTGGTATTTGTTACTATAATTTCTTAAAATGCACCCTAACTTTCAGAACGTGAAAAAAAAAAAAAATTAAAAAAAAAAAAAAAAAAATCAATATGTTCAGTTTGAATACTTAGAGTAAATAAGCTCATGTGTGGGTGGAAAACAGAATTTTGGATTGCAGAGAAACGAAGAAAAAAAAAAATTGGGATTTTTGACTTAATCATCTTACAACCCCATAAAACAAAAATCAAATGAGTTCCCACGGTCCAATTCAATAGACCTAGGAGCAAACTAAGGATCTGCCCAAGTCTTACCCAGGATAACTGAAAGAGAAGCACCTCTTTTTTTTTTTCCTTTTTTTTTTTCTCTTCTTTTCCCTGTACCAGCCTCGAACCCTAGCCCTTAAGGATGGGAGTTTAGAGTCTTTAGACCCCAACCCAGTAAGACAAAGGTGGACCAGTAAAGAGGAGCACCTCCATAGGATATTCCACTATCCAAGCTAGTATCAAATTGCCTATGAATTTAAAGAGTTGCATTAACACAAGGAGGATCATCTGATACTGCCTTTGTCCCTTTTTATTATTTGCCCCAACTTTCTACCATTCTCGATTTTCCCAAAGCTACCCTCTCAGCAAAGTTGTAAATCTTGCCATTCCCACTCTTGCTTCAGCCAGTCTTATTTCCAATTATTTAGTTGATTTAGGCAATATATATTTCCTTATTTTTCCTATATAAGGATGCTAATGTAACATAATTAGGGGAATGGAATTGAAAGAATGAAAATTTAAGATTTTTGGTGGCTAATCCCCAATTCAAAGGATTATTGGTGAATGGTGGTTGATCTCCAAACAAAAGATCAATTTAGGTTCTAGAACCCTAACACAGACCATCATTGTTCATGTATTCCTGAGAACCCAAATCCTTTGTCCTCGTCATCTCCGTTTTCATTATTTGCAAACATATCACCTTGAGATTTAACTGAATTTCTAAGAATTATTCAAATCTTCTGATGCTATTTCAAGTGTTATTCTTTTAATTAATTTGATTTAAAGTCAAACCTAAGTTGGTAGTAAGAGGAAACTCGCTATGACATACGGGAAAGATGAACTATGGTGGACTTGAAAAACCTGTGTACACACTGGAAAACACCATTCATCTGATAGATTATTGACCAATGGGACAAACACAAACTAAGGTCCTTGCCAGAGTAGCAATAGTCCAAACTGTTACTCTTCATTTGTTTCTTCTGTAGTGTGAAGAAGCTCATATTGGAAATAGAAATATTACCATGTTGAGCTAAAAGACCGTTGAGGGGAGTGGGGGCTTTAGAAAAATAAGTTCATTCTAAATGCTTGAAATATCTTACTCAAACAAATATCAAAAATGAGAAAAATATGTCAAAAAAAGGGTATTGAAGGCACCAATTATGATAAAATCGAGTTTATTCATTATCATCATCATCATCTTGGCCTTAATCACATATGAATGGGTTAGCCGCATGAATTCTCTATTTCCCAATCTTTTCTAGTACATGAAATTTCACACATTTTATTTTTTAATAACCTCATTCCATGTTATTTTTGGTCACCCTGTCCGTCTTTTATCTTCTACTGAGTATTACACATTTTATTCTTAGCTCTGAAAAAAGAAAAATGACATTCTTGAAAATTCAAAATGAAATTCTTCCCTTTCTTTTTTTCTCCATTTCCATAGCACATCCAGTTAATGGGACAAATAATCATAATTCAAAATCAAATTCATCGGGAAAAAAAAAAAGGAAATTAAAGCAATTGGAAAAATAAAAATAAAAATAAATACACTTACTTTGTCCTCTGACCAGAATAAGGGTTGTGAACACCATGAATGAAGAAAAACATAGTAGGATAACCCGCAATCTTGTACTTCTGCGCCAGCTTATACTCCTCCGTCGCATCCACCTTGGCCAGCAACGCCTCGCCGTTCAGCTCCGTCGCGGCTGCCGCATACTCCGGCGCCAGGGCCTGGCAGTGCACGCACCACGGCGCGTAGAATTCCACCATCACGTACCGATTCTTCAATACAAAGTCGCTGAAATTCGATTCCCTCAACACAACCACGTCCTTCTCGTCGATCGGTGGTGGCGAGTACGAGTCACGGCCGTTGGAACCGGAGGACTTCTCCTTGTGGAAACTGAGATCTCCGTCGAGATCGTTGTCGTGGTGATTGGAGAGTATTGCAGAGAAAAAGAAGATGTTGAAGCAGATGAGGAGTGAAAGTGCGAGGATGAGAAGAGTTCTAGTCCCCCGGGCGTCTCCCTCCGGACATTGCAGAGACATTTTAGAGAGAGAATTTCTAGAGGGAGAAAGAGAGGGTGAATTTGAAAGTCGGGAGTTGGTCTGACATTCGAGAAATTATTAGATTCAGTTAACAAGAATAAAAGACGAATTGTGGAGAGACACGTGTTATTGTGCAAGACTACAAGACCACGAGTATTTTGCAAGTAAAATTTAGGTCGTTGTCATTGAGGATAGTTTAATTTGGTAAAAAGAATAGAAAAATTGACTGATTTTAGTGATTTATTGTAAATAAATTTTGATATTAATTTTTATTGTGTAATATTCATATAATCATCGTTTAAATGGGTTTTTTTTTTTTTTTTTTTTTTCTCATGGTTTAAATAGTTAAATGCATACCTTAATTATTGTACATGATCATAAAATATGATAATAGTAAGAAAGAAATAAAAGTTTATGGCAATTGTCATAATGGGTGGTGATAGAGTAGTGAAATGTATATAGCAAATTAGTAATTGTATATTCAAGTAATTTATATTGGACCACATCAAGTTATATTCACACTTTACTTTTATATTTACCTTAGAACTTTATTAAATATATATATATATATATATATATATATATATATGAAGTGAATTACAATTGAAATACACTCAGTCATCACAATTATTCTAAAAATGAATTAAAGTCAAGATAATTTCAATAAAACACAATTGAAGAAACATAATATCTTTTCTGCAACTTCAAGGAAATTATCCCATACTTGTGGGACAAGAGAATTATTTGTATCCGACGATGAATTATGAAGTACAAGACTCGACAAGACCGTGGTCGACAATATATATATATATTATTTAAATATTACTCTCTCCTTCCTTTCTAACTACTAATCCCTAACATTCTTGTCAAAGAGCAAGTTGAAAATTAATAGTGGAAAGTGAATAAAAAGAGAATAAGTTTTTTTATTGTGTTTTTTATTAGTATATGAAAACTTTTTAAAAAATTATGAAAAATTATCATTTTATGATGTAAATAGTAAAAACTTATCGTAAAAGAAATGATATTATTGTAACTTGCAAGTTCACAAACTTTTCCATGAAGAAAAAAAAAAATGTGTATTTTTTGTAGGGAAATTTTTTATGAAAAAATTAGATGGTTATGGATAAATTTTACTTTTCCTACTAACCTTAAAGTGTTAGAGAAAAATTTTATTTCCTTTCTTTTCTTGCTATTCCCATCTAAGCAAATGGAGAGTCTATGGCAATGTAAGAAATATATACCCTAAAAATTGGAACACAAAATTTTTAAATACAACAAATAAAAACTTTACACATAATCCGTTTAGCTTGTTTAGATTATAGATTTTTAAAAACAACAAATAAATTTCTAAGTAGAAATTTTGTACAATAACATTACCTTACCCAGAAAAAAAAATAAAAAATAAAAATAAAAAAAAATAAATAAATAAATAAAAATAATAATAATAATAATAAATAAAAAGAAAGGTTTCTAAATATTATGAAGCAATATATACTAAGCACCTATGACCTACCCCTGAATTACAACAAAGACTGCCCAACGTTCTCTACATTTTCAACCTTTCCCTTCCATTTCACTCCATCCAAACACCTCCTCAAAACTATGCCTCTCGCTCCAGAGTCATTATCAAGCCATTACTGAAGAAGCCAGCAAGCAATCTTTGTGCAGTTTGATAACATAATATAGAAATAAAAATTCATTAGTAGCCAAAATAAGAGAGATGATTATGAAAATGCATAAAATTGTGCAGTTTGATTAATCAACACTCTTGTTTAACATATTTCAAACAACTATTTACTGAACAAGACTATCTACAAGACAATCCAGGTTTGATACCAAGCTGAAGAATCAGCACCATTTCCTCTAAGAGTCAGATTAAACTACAAACTTATACGATACCACACAAATAATTCGATTTATAAAATCTTTTGTAGAATATGGTTTGCTGTGAATTTATTATCACAATCTCACTTGTAGCAGGGTGGATTCAATGACCAAATGTGCTCCCACCAAATGGGGGGTATTGTTAGTTTGCTTCCTCATCAAGAACTGCAAAGACTGAAAAATAGAAAATATCAGAGGCCAAAGATTTTTGTTAATTAAGCAATTGTAAGGGCATCAAAATGTTGAATGTTAACTCTTTCCTAAATCTAATATCTAGGAAGGCTCCCCTATCGATCAATATATATGATACAGTTTTTTTAATCGTGTATGCTCCAAAGAAAAGAAACATTCAGTGGAAGTTCTAAGAGTTATGCAGAAAATTCACACGTGAAAAATTATTTTCCTCATTGTATCACACTCGTTGTCGTTATTCTAAAACAACAGTGGCATATATAGTTTTTAGCTCCATGTTCCTTCCCTATTCAAAACCTACCAACTGGCACAACAATGTTGAGATTCTCCCCGGTCCTCGAACATATTTATGCAACATTCACAGCATTGCAAGTATTGCAATAATCCACAGGTACAATATGAATGCAACAGTTTTGGGGGAAAAGAGTATCAAGTTAAAATGATCACAAGTACACTCTTTGCTCATCCTTCTAGTGTTTCAGTCCACGTACCAGTACTCAATGAGTCAATGCTGCTTGTAACATATTATTCTCCTGTGTATGTTTAGTAGTAAATGCAACGGCATGGTTCTTAAGGAATTCGTAGAACGCCACTACTGTACGGTCAGTGTCCACAGTGATCTGCAAAACCGAAAATCATACAAGGCAACATCACGTAATTCGCTAGAAGTGTGGTATTATTTTGTTAAAATAAAAAATTTCAAACATCAGCCTGACCGGATCAAAGCTCTTATTGCCAGCTGGGAAGAAAAGAAGCGTAGGGAAGCCATCAGCCTGCAGATGCAAAGATCGTAACTTGTTCTTAATTGTTTTCAGTTTTATTGCTGAAGAACATAACGGAGAAGAAATGTTATGACATTCAGCCACTCCATCCATCCAACAAGCACGATACTCAAAGATTGTAACTTGTTCTTAGTTGTTTTCAGTTTTATTGCTGAAGAACATAATGGAGAAGAAATGTTACGACATTCAGCCACTCCATCCATCCAACAAGCACGATACTCAAAGATCGTAACTTGTTCTTTATTGTTTTCAGTTTTATTGCTGAAGAACATAATGGAGAAGAAATGTTACGACATTCAGCCACTCCATCCATCCAACAAGCACGATACTCAAATGAATCATGGCTCTCTTTTTGGTGCTTAAAAATGAGCAATTAGAGAATGAAAGTATTGGAGGAGAAAGAAACTCTACAACATAATGAAGGTCTTTTGCAATTAGTACCTTGGCCCTTGGGTGCTCATTTGTGGTTCCATCCATCTTGGCTATAACAAGTGAATCAATGCCACTTACATGCTTGGCGAGTTCGTTGTATATTGGCTCCAGCGATTGACAATGCCCACACCAAGGAGCGTATATCTGGATTTAAAACCATAAAGCCAGTCACAGCCAAACATCAGAATGAAGCAATAATTAAAAGGCAATTGATTAAGATTAGATTTCACTGCCAATGAAGAAAATTTAATACCTCAAGAAGAACATCTTTTGACTCATCCAGAACAATTTCATCGAAGTCATTGACAACCACTACTTTTACATCTCCCTCATTCTGCATGAATTCATATGTGGAAAAGTAAGTTAGACCAAGGGCATAAGAATGCATATCAGTCACTATTGTCAATGAAGAAAATTAATACCTCAAATATTATCACAAGTTTTTACCTGTTTCTTAATCGGATTCTCAACTATTAGTGGAGCACTTTCCCTGGTAAAGATGGTCACCGGAGGAATCTTATTCTCAGATACAAATTCAGCTATTCCCGATTTGGTGAATTGACTATCTGTAGACCTATCTGAAAGTGTGAATATTTGTGAAACGTATTTAAAGTAGAAATAATCAGTTGAGATGTTGGGAAGACTTACTGAAGTGGCTAATTTTTTCAGCCACCTTCGTCACCAAGACCAGAGCTGGACGTTTTGATTGAGGACTGATGTGGAAAAGCTTAGCCACATCAGGACTAGCAGTCTGATAGAAGTTGACATCATCTTCCAGTCCTGAAGCACAAGCAAGCTCCTTGCTTTCTGGACCCTACAAATATTGTTTTGAAATGGAGTTTAAAAGCAAATTAATCAAAGAGTAGTCTTTGCACTCACATATTTCCCACTCCAAGAGTCACAAAACTTTATCTCACGGAAGTTCAGAGGCTCTGAGGCTGCACACTAAACTTAGTGTTTCTTATGCTATATAAAAACTAGAGTGGTTAAGGTTAATTAATTTGGAAATGAAAAAAAATTATCTACTTGAAGTGTGAAAAAAAAAAATTTGAATCCCAACTTGATTGAGGAAATACCTCCAAGGTGTCGAGGAAGCCCAAAACTATTTTTGATCCAGCAGTCAATATTGACAATATATGTTCTGCTTCTTCTATTGTCGTAACATTTTCTATGGTTGGGCACATCTTCTTCCGCACCCAAGTCGCAATAGCATCCCTGAGTATTATAGTTTGAAGTTTCAAGCATGACTAAACAGTGGAAAACTAGATCTAGTTACACCAACTAGCAGAAGAGACAACAGTATTTGCTCATAAATGTACAGTGATATTCAATCTAAAAATTAGTATTGTTACTATAATTTATTAAAATGGCACCCTAGCTAATTTTCATAACATGATTACGAAAATTCAATATGTTCAGTTTGAATCCTGAGAGTAAATAAGCTCGTGTTTGGGTGGAAAACAGAATTTTGGATTGCCAAGAAAAAAAAGACCAAAAAGTTTGGGGAATCTGAATTTGAAAAAGATTATATTGAATTTCTAAGAATTATTGGAATCTTCTGATGCTATTTCAAGTAGCTATTCTTTTAATTATTTGACTTTAAGTGAGATGAAATATGGTGGAGTCGAAAAACCTGTGTACACACTGGAAAACACCATTCATCTGATAGATAATTGACCAAAGGGACAAACACAAACGAAGGTACTTGCCAGAGTAGCAAGGGTTCAAACTATTGTTCTTCATTTGTTTCTTCTGTAGTGTAAATGAACTCACATTAGATATTGATATATTACCATTTGAGCACAGTGATTGTTGAGGGGAGTGGAGGCTTTTAGAAAATGAAGTTCATTCTTAATGCTCGAAAGATCTTAGTCCAAAAATGATGAAAAATGGAGAAACATTTCAAAAGATGGTATTGAAGGCTTCACCAATTATAATAAAATTGAGTTTATTCATCATCGACGTTGTTGCCGTCGCCTTAATCTCATATGAATGGGTTAGCTATATGAATTTTCTCACTCCGATCTTTTCTATCACAAGCCATCTCACTTACTATATTTAACTTTTTAAAGTCATTTTTAATAACCTCATTGTTATTTTTGGTCTTTTATTTCAATTTATTCTTAGCTCTTAAACAGAAAGATGACATTCTTGAAAATTAAAAATCAAAATTTTCCCTTTCTTCTTCTCCATTTCCATAGCAAAACCATGAGATAAATAATCACAATTTAAAATCAAAGCAATTGAAAAAAAAAAAAAGGAACTTACTTTTTCCTATGACCATAATAGTCACCATAATAAGGCTTGTGAACACCACCAATGAATAAAAACATAGTAGGATACCCCTGAATCTTGTACTTGTGCGCCAGCCCAAGCTCCTCCGTCGCGTCCACCTTCGCCAGCACCGCCTCTTCCTTCAGCTCCGTGGCGGCCGCAGCATACTCCGGCGCCAGAGCCTTGCAGAAATAGCACCACGGCGCATAGAATAGCACCATCACGTGCCGATTCTTCTCCACAAAGTCGCTGAAATTCGATTCCCTCAACACAACCACGTCGTTGTCGTCGATCGGCCAAGGCGGCGGGGGCGGCTGGTACGAGTCGTGGCCGTCGACCTCCTCGATGAAACTGAGATCATCGTTGTCATAGTGTTTGAAGAGAGATGTAGAGAAGAAGACGTTGAAGAAGATAATGAGTGAAAGTGAGAGAATGATAATAGTTTTGGTCGCCATCGTTGGGGCGTCTCTAATCTCTCCCTCCGGACAATGCAGAGAGACCCTTCTGTAGACGACTATAATTCCTGTACAATACACTCTGCCGGCCGGAAAGTTGTATTTTTTATTGGGCGGAGTATTAGATGACCGTTACTCCCAAGTCCCAAGGGGTTTTATTATTGTTACTATGTCACTGAATAACTTGTAAAATGAATCATTATCTTAATCTGATGTAAATTACACAAGGAACATAAAATTATTACATAAAGACCCACAAGGAAGCTAGCGACACAAAAGATAATCTTTAATCTCAGAGCTAGATGACAAAAAATGAAATGGCATGGGAGAGAGGCCCAAGTAAGAGAAGGTGGATTGGAAAGTGATGAGTCAAGATATGACGGTGACATTGAGAATTTGTTTGATTTGTCATCTAAAAATAGTAATTAAAATTTTAAAAATAAAAAAATATAAGATAATTATAAAATAATTTTATGAAAATATGTATTTTTTCTTAAGTGTAATGCTCTCAGGAGAGTTCTCAAGCTCTACATTTTAACCAATCAATTGAAAGGTGCATTAAATAATTTATTTGAATTTTTACATATCTTAAAGAACTATCTCAATCTAATTTTCTGATTGAGGTTTTAAAAAACGGTTTTTAAAAATCATCAACCAAACAATTTTTGTACAATTTTTGTACAATTTTTTGATTCTCTATTTTTAGAAATTTGAACCAAACACGTCTTCAGTTTACATGAATAAGGGCAAATTATGGAGAGGCATGGGACACACTACAAGACTTTAACTTTATGAATAAGTGCACGAATCTTTGCAGACAGGGCTTACTTGTAGGGGTGTCGTACCCAATGAACTTGTGTAATTTAAGTTTGTCAATAAATTTCTTAAATTCCAAATTAACTTGAAAGTAGGATAATCGAATTGTGATGATTTATTCTAAATTAATAAATAGAAAAATAAAATAAACTAAAGAACAATGATTAAATAGGATGTAAAAAATAGAGAGAGAACTAGGGGTATGATTTAACCACTAACGTTGTACCACCAGTCAATTGCATCAATTTGTTGAAGATATATCATATAACATGCATAAGGAATTAATCAGAGCTACAAGCACATATTAATTCAGCTAGAAAATAATATAATTTAAAGCTAAGCATTGACTATCTCCGATTAGTATAAACCATCTACCTAATTACTTTACTCTATGGTGTATCATGGTCTATCTTTTTTAGGCATAATCCATCAAATCTCTAACATCAAATTCAGATAAATACCATTGTATAATCATCTCATTCATAATCCATCAAATCTCTAACATCATATTCAGATAAATACCATTGTGTAATCATCTCATTCACAACTACAAGAAGTGAATGAGTTGTGTTCAATCACAAGATTAAAATATTTAAGACAAGATAGAAAAATATTTATAATTGAATTAAAACTCTAAAATCGATTTTTATTGAAAAGTCAATTAAAAATTCAATAGATTACACAATCATGCATAATAAAAATTGTTCTCCAATAAATAAATACAATCAAACTAGTGTACTGAGCTAGGGCTACATCACAACCCTAGCAAAACGTTTAGCCAAGCATGACTGGAGTAGAATTCTTCATAGTTAAGGAAGACATCTTCACCGCCATGAATTGATCACTTCCTTGCTTCTGAATGCTTCTCTTCTGATCTCCGCCTCAAGCTCCTCTGTATGATCATTCAATGTTGTAGAGGATTCCCTTTACTTTTTCATATAGAAGACATACATAAAAATTCTGACAAATAAGGACTCCAAAATTCGTACAGACTTCCAGCCCAATTTTGACAAGGTAAACAGCTGTTTTATGGAATCCTCGTGAAATACAAAATTGTAACTCTTTGAATTTCCTTTCAACACTTATAAGAATTTAGCTGTTTTGACACTCGAGGAAAGAGATACATCCAGATTACCAAAACGGGTTCAAATTACCAACTTAGGTGAAAGTTTCCTTTTTAGAGTAGGATTTTTCCTTGGGAAAATTCCACCCTAATCCTACTTTTCAATCCCAAAGACAAATAAATCCCAAAAAAAAATTTATAAGACAAAGAAGTCTTACTTTACATAAATATTTCCAATCAAGTCCTAAACTAAATAGAATCCCTATTTTACCCGTTTCCATATTCCCCCCACTCTCAACCCCTTTTCTCCCTTAAGCAATCCTATGTCAAATCAAGGAAAAAAAAAAAAAAAAAAAGACGAACAAGAAGGAACCAAATAATAGAGAGCAGGAAATTAAACATCAACAACTAATGTAATTTAATTATAAGATCCAATTAGTGAGAATAAATTAACCATATACATACACAAGGCGGCAACAACGTCGTCGCTGCATATTGCAAGCTGCCATAACTTCACTGCCGCAAATCGCCGCCACCACGGCAAATCGCTCCCGTTGCTGCGGATCGATTTGCCAGTGAGGACAATCTGCAAATCGCTGCCAGAATCGATGGGGTCACCGGAATCCATGGAGCCCATAGTTGCCGATAAGGTGTCTCTCCTATCTCCGTTCTCTGTTCCTCATCTTCCCCCCCCCCCCCCCAAACACCAACACACACACACACACACACACACACACACATATATCCCGATCTCATCGCGAAAATCGTTACAGAAGGGGGCAACCAGACGACCTTGCTCGAAAAGAGCTTCAATCAAGGAAGAAGGAAGGCTGAAGGGGGTTCGACTTTGGACGATGTCGAGGACTCAGCCGCGATGGAGGGGTTGGCCAGTGAGAGCTCAGCCGTGATGGTCTGATTGGTGATGGAATAAGAAGCTCGGCTATAAGCTTGCTGCGCGGCTTGGCGGGATGGAACAGCAGTCGAGAACAGCGACTGTGATGGATCCGGCGGGGACGGGCTGGCAGTGAGTTCGGCGAGGATGAACTCAGCCAGTGGAGACGAACGGCGGCAAGAATTGGCCAACTGACTCGGAACGGAGGACTTGGCTGTGTTGGTGAACTCGCGCAATTTGGCGGTCACAACGAGCTCTGTTTTGGTAAAAAGACCAACCAGACAAATCAGAGGAAAGAGATTTTGAGGAGAAAAGTGTGGTCTCATCGTCGTCGTCGTCGTCGCAGCTAAACCACCCAACTGAGTCAAACCTTTGGTTCCTCAAATGGATTCCCGGACTGGTTAAGGGAGAAAGGGGTTTGAGGGTGAGGGGAATATGGAAAGGGTAAAATAGGGATTCTATTTAGTTTAGAACTTGATTGGAAATATTTTTGTAAAGTAGGACTTTTTTGTCCTATAAATTTTTTTTTAGGACTTCTTTGTCTTTGAGGTTAAAAAGCAGGACTAAGGTGGAATTTTTCCTTTTTTTTGCTTTTTTCCTTTTCTTCTTCTTTCCATTCTCATCAGCTTGTGACTTCTTTTGGACTATTTTTTAAGTATAATTAGATTTGGATCTTCAAAATTGCTTAGTTCCACGGAATGTCATCTTTTAAAGTTCAAAATCACTGGTCTTGACTAATTTTACAATTATAGCCCTAAAATAAATAAAAACAAGGGTAAAGTGCATTAAACCCCCCTGAACTATTGGGGTATGTGCAAGAAACCCCCCTGAACTATAAAAATTGTAAAAAAACCCCCTTAACTATTAGGGTATGTGCAAGAAACCCCCCTGAACTATAAAAGTTGCAAAAAAAACCCCTGAACTATTGGGTATGTGCAAAAAAACCCCCTGAACTATATATTTTTTTGCAGTTTACCCCATCCACGCGAATCGATTGACTGAAAGGGACGATGAAGCCGAGGAATTTGTTGCTGGGATCGGTGGGTCTCCTGTTATAGCTCGATCATAGCCGCTGCACCACTAGCCAGATCCGTCGGCCATATATATCGCACTTCTCTGTACCGTTGCGTCAGCCCATTGCCGTCACCGCCTTGTCCGCCGTTCAGCTCACCTTGCTCGCCAGTCCATTCCACCATTCATTCCAATCTCGCCGGCCCATTCCGCCATCTCCATAGCCGAGCACATCGCCGTCCATGTTTCGAGCACATAGCCGTCCACAGTTCACCGCCGAGCCCCCTTGAGCTAGCCGCCGCCTCCACAGTTCACGGCCGAGTCAACCGAGCTCTCATCACAGCCGAGTCCTCCGCGCACAAGCCGCCATCATCCGAGACTGAGCCATCCCGCCGACCTCGGATTTCTTTGGTCTCTTCTCTCTCTCTCTAGCTCTCAGTTTTGGGTTGTGTTGGGTGAAAGGCATCTTTTGGCAGAAAAAAAAAAGTAAGAAGTGTATAAGTTAAAACGACGCAGTGTACGTGTTATAAGGATAAACTGGTCTTTCAAAATTTTCGGTACCGGAAGTTGATGTCATGGGGGTAAATTGCAACAAAATCATAGTTCGGGGGGGTAAATTGCAATAAAATCATAGTTCAGGGGGATTTTTTGTAGTTTAGGGGGGTTTCTTGCAAATGACCAATAGTTCAAGGGGATAAATTGCAACAAAATCATAGTTTAGGGGGTTTTTTGTAGTTCAGGGGGGTTTCTTGCAAATGACCAATAGTTCAGGGGGGTTTAATGCACTTTACCCTAAAAATAATGTAAAATTACAAATAAACTATTATTAAGAGAATAAAACATGTAAGTAAATAGGTTAAAATGTATAACATTCAGCGCCTAACAAAGGCAAAATTAAACCGTGGTTGATGAATCTAAGATTTCGAAGTTTAATTTTAAGGAAGGTGACGGAGTACTGGAATGAGTATAGGATATTATAAGTAATTCTGTTGTATTTCGGAAAGTAAAATAATCATTGCTTTATGACATTATTAATACAACATCTATTACTAATTTATAAAATTATTTTCTTTGTAAATTTTTTGTGTATATGTATCAAAATCTATCTTTCCATCTCTCTCTAAATACTTAAAAAGCAATATGAATTCTAAAATTCAACACCAGTTTTGCAACAAGTGGATATGGGTTTGTCATTTATTTATCTTTTTATTATTATTATTTTTGTCAATTATAAGAAACTCATTTATCCATTTTCCTTTCGGGACTCGAAAATCCATTTTGAGACATAGAGACCACAAAACTCGTAGTATACTCGTCATTTGAAAAGCTAAAGTTTGTTCAAAATATGAACTTTAGTTTTCAAATATTTCCCAACTTGAAAATATAATGTTGAATTGTTTTCAAAAGTGACAATACATTAAACTCATATCCTCCCTTAAATAAGAATATCAAATAGGGACCCATTGAATTAGGTCCAAGGGAGTAAATTAATACTACCTAATAATAAAATAAAATAAACGTTCCATTTATTCAAAGGAGATTGGGAATTTCCTTTTAACGGCAGGTTTTCAAAATTTCAAAGTGGATAGTTGAAAGTATATGATATTGTAAGGCCACCAAAAAAAAAAAAAAAAAAAAGGCTTGCTTGGTTCAAATTTTTAAAAAGAGTTGTCAAAGAATTAAACTACTAGCCAAACAAATTTTTGTACAATTTTTCACATTTTACTTCTTACAAAACAGAAAACTGAAAAAAGCCAACCAAAAGTCCTTTTTTGCACTGGTTTTATCTGTTTCTTCTTTCTATCAATTAAAACATTGATGGAAGAAGAATCCAAGCTTTATCAATATGGTAATATAAGGAACTATAAACCCTAATAATAGGAAACGCAACTTTTAAACACAACAAATAAACTTTGTTCAACTCCTATATAATCCGTTTAGCTTCTTTAGATTAGAGATAAATTTTAAATACAACAAATTAATATAATAGCATTATAATTTATAACCATTCAAAAATATAACCTTACCACACACAAACAACAACAAACAAACAAAAAATGAAAGAGGTTTCTAAATATTAGTGACCAGTTCAGAATGCCCAACTATACATTTGGAATTTGGATCGAGAGAGGAAGACAGTTGTAATCACAACTTGTTTGTCAAAGATTTGATAGAAAAAAATATATATATAAATGGAAGGATGGAAAATGACATTCTATGTGAGAGCTAAGTTACATAAAGCGTAGGCGGGAGTGGGAGTGGGAGCAAGAGCAGGAACGCGAAAGCGGCAAAATTAAGTCACAAATAATGAAAAAAGGAGCGAGAGCGCACGCGGAAAGGGATGGCCATCAAATACAATGAAGCAAAACGTAATATAGAAACAAAAATTCAATTGTAGCCAAAATGAGTGAGATGATTATGAAGAAGCATATAACCGTGCAAATTGATTGATCAATATTCTTGGCTAATATATTTCAAAGAACTATTTACACCATCATTTGTGCTAACAAACTATACAAATCACAACACTATCTAATAACCACTACATAAGTAAATCAGATCACCCAAATTTGATACCAAAGTGAAAAATCAGCATAGTTTCCTGTAAAATTCAAACTAAACTACTAACTTACACGATAAGAGACAACTAATAAGGCAGTTAAAAAGCTTTGTAAAATATCGTTTCCTATCAATTTATTTTCACAATCTCACTTGTACCAAGGGGGATTCAATGACCAGAAATGCTCCCAAATGAGGTATTGTCAGTTTTCTTCCTCATCAAAAACTGCAAAGAGGAAAAACACTAAATATCAGAGGTAACCAAAGCAATTGCAGGGATAAAAATGTTGTATGCAAATCTTTCCTAAATCTAATATCAAAGAAGGCTCACTTAGATATCAGTGATACACACACCTGCAAGTATAAAGAGATTAAACCACAAAAATGATCAAAAGACAGAGCATAAAACACCACCCAAATTGAGCAAATCTATTTCAGTCCAGTAGAAAACAGTTTCATAATACCCAACATTGTAATAAGAAACTTGAGCACAGTATCACGCCTCACCTATTTGCAGGGAGGTTGCGCCACGCAGGCAACACACTAGCACTAAGGAGGACTCTGGCGTCTACATGGCATGAGTAAAGTTGAGTTCTAGAGTGTTTCACATTTGTGTGGAGATTGTGGAGTATTGTAGAGAACAATGGAGGATTTTAGAACATTGGAGAGTTGGTAGAAGTTGGTAAATTGAAAAAGATTCTAGAAGAGCTTAGGGATTTGAAGAATTTGTAAATATGTAGAGATTTTGGTGAAGATGTGAAGAGTTCTAGAGACTAGATCTTTTCCATGGATTGTAATGCATCCTAGCCGTTTGGAGGATGGCTATAAATTGGTAAGGGTGTTATGGATAGAAAACAAGGGTCTAAGCCTTGACCAAATCGAAACTCATTTAAATAAACATATAAGTACAATTCAATAATACCAAAATTACTCAAAGATGAAACATATATATTTTATTAGTGGTCGGCACTCAAGATAGCTTATTGGTTGGTGATGGTCATCTACTGATTATCCCTACCAAAATATGTTCTAATACAAGGCTTTCATGGTGTTCTACCATCTGCAAGGCTTAAATCATCACACAAGGGTGTATTGTCTTTTATGACACAATTACACAAGGGTTTGAGATAGTGCATTGCAACCATTATACCTACTCAGGCTACTTTGTTGTGTAATTTGAGGTTCAACACATGAAAATTGGCTACAGGGTTTTTCAGGGGTCAACGAAAATATCTCAATCAAAGTACCTTTTAATTCACTAGACCTTTTTAATATGTAAAGATTTAATCTTTGAAATAAAATGAGAGTTTTGAGTTAAACTTATTCGAGTTCACTTTGAAGTCACAAAACGTGTTTTAATGAATAAAGATTGAATCTTTGAATGAATATAGCTCAATATAAGTACCTTTTTAAGTCACTAGACCTTTTTAATGTATAACAAATTGAAAACAACATAATTTTCATTTTTTCCTTAAAAAACACACAAATCTATATACATATATGTATATTGCATTTTACATTGAAGCATAACGAGTATATGATATATGTACTTACTATTTAAATAAAATACAGTAAATAAATGAATTAGGGACCATTACTTTGTATGATGATAAAACTTTAGAATATCAAACATGAAACAAAAAAGCAACTTTTAAGCATACACGTAATCCTCAAGCAGCTTAGCTCATTAACTTCTTCTAATTCGTAGTAAACCATATACTATGATAGATAAATAAAGAAAAAGGAATTGAGTAAGGGGCTTTCCCCTATGTCTTTCATTATTTTATTCAGTAAGATATGGTTCCAATCTTTTTATAGCTGTTGCAGCATGGACAAGAGGGATCACCCAAAATGAGTCAAGCACATACACGACACACGCCCTCTACCCAATGGCGACTTGAATTCCATCCTTTATTTTTTGTGAGAATGATGAGAAAATACTATTTAACCATTCGGTGATAACGCTCCAAGGGAAAAATGGAGAGAGAGAGAGAGAGAGAGAGCTGGTTTTGTGATCTGCATTGAAAAAAGATAAGAGCAGAAGTTAGATAATATGGTGATTTTACTTCATCCAAGCTCTTGTCAAATATGAAATCGGCAATGTCCAACAAACCAATTTATGGTTTGACAGTTGGTGTTACCTTGGCCCTTTGCACCTCCTATTGACTGCAGCTTAATTACAAGAATCTGCAATCGACTCCCACACCATAGTAAGCAATTGAAGGTCCATAGACAACTGGTCTTTCTCACCTTCCATAGACAATTGCATTCCTCAATTATTCAGTCCACACACTCTTCCTCTTCAATTCTTATACAGAATCAACAAATTCAAGTGCATTCCATCCCAATCAGGAAAAGTAACTATCCCACACACCTTGAAATTCCTTTTCCATCAACCTTACCTTCCCTGCCCCATCTTGGTTTCAACCTTTCATTCTGAAGCATAGCTTCATGCTATGGTTGGCTATCCTCCAAAAGTTACCCACTCTTGACCAAAAATCACTCGCCTCCATATACCCAACTCACGTGCCCTTTGCTTGTCTGCCCCACTTGTTCTTTCAATGTCCCTCTGTTGCCCCTATTTAGAGTTACTTCCAGTCAAAATGTGCTTTTTATATCCTTAATAGCATGGGCTTCACAACACTAGGAATGGAAAAGCTAACTCTCTCTTTGCTTTGGTATACATGTTTGGCTCAAGTAAAACACAAGGATTTTTGGTAATGTCTCTCTAACGGCTAACTCTTTACTCCATAGAACAAACTATGTAGTAAGAGAGATGGTTGTTTCATGCTGAAACTTGATTGCCCTTTTGTAGCTCGAATAGCTTGGAAATGGGCTCTGACCACCACCTCATCCACCTGACTGGGCAGTGTTGGCAAAGTTCCTTTGCCACCCTCTGCATTCGATCACCAGACTGGGCTTACCATTGCTCAACAGTCTCTCTCTTGGGCCTCTAACTTGGGCCTTGTAAAGTTTCTTCAATATACAATTACCATTTACCTTTGGGAAAGAAAAAAAAAGAACAAGACATAGTTGTGAGTATGGCAAGGGATAATCATTTGAGTCATCGTTTCTGCATAAATCGTGCACCAGTCTTTAAGTTTAGAGACACGTTCTTTTTCTGTTTTCTATTGCTTTTTAGCAAATAACTCACTGTGATATCTCACATCGCCTGGGAGGAGAAGTTGCTCGCACTCATAAGGGGGATGCCTCCTACTTGTGTAAACGTGTTTTGAAAATCATGAGCACGGAGAGGGTAGAAAGTGGAAAATATCTACACGGGTCCTCACTCACTTCACCTCTCTCCATGACAGCAATGTGTACTCTAAATTTCTATTTATTTATTTTTTCTTTTGGATGAAAAATAAATTTATAAGGCAATTTCCTTGGCAGGGTCCTCAATTATTTCAAGTACAGCTATATGCCAAAAGATCTGATTTTAAGGACAAACTATCATGACATCCACCTAATAAGGAAGACCGAGGCAAATACAAATTAAAAATAACCATATCTGAATTTTAGTGGCATCGCGAAAATCCTGTCAGAAAAGTGAAAACTATAGTTCTTAAAACAATAAGAAAGTCATCATAAGACACTTATTCTTAGCTCCCCTATCAATCAATATATATGTATACATACATTTAAATATATGTTAGCACATCGTTTGGTGTTAATTAAATAAATTTTCTATCATGTGTATTTCAATGTATTCGAGCTATTTTTATTACGTATGCTCGAAAGAATAGAAACATTCAGCGGAAGTTGTAAGAGTTATGCAGAAAATTTAACTATTAAAACCTTTCATTCATGTGGGAATGTTAGTTTCTTCTCTGGACTACTACTCTAATCTCCTCAAGCTGATTATTTCCAAACATCATCCTTTCCCTAACTAAAGAAACTTCCACACAAATTATTTTTCCTCGTTGTATCACACTCTTCATCAGTTCTTCTATAAGGACAGTGGCATATATACTTAATCCCATGTTCCTACCCTAATCAAAACCCACCGATTGGCACAACAATGTTGATATTCTCCCCAGTCCTTGAACATACTTATGCAAAATTCACAGCAATGCATGTACTTTAATAATCCATAGGTAAAATATGAATGCAACAGTTTTGGGGAAAAAGAGTATCAAGTTAAAATGCTCATAAGCACATTCTTTGCTCATCCTTGTAGTATTGCAGTCCACGTACAAGAAGTCAATGCTGCTTGTAACATACTATTCTGCTGCGTATGTCTATATGGATATTGGATAGATGCAGTAATTTAATCCTGAAGCTAGACAAACTGAAAAATCTATGGCATAAATGAATAACAAGACCAATATCAGCTTCTTTCTTTTCATTATTGAACCCAACATTCTCTTTTTATTAGGAAAAAGCTCTACAGGGATGCTGTCACTGAGCTTGCACCCTTATAGCCATTAAATTGTGAAGTTGTGAGGTCAGCCTCTCAATCCAATATGTACCAGGATGCGAGCTCACTAATCACCCTCATTATAGACTTCCTCTTTTTGTAATTACAATTCTCATTCAATTCAAAAACTAACAAAAATCAACAGGTGTTCTCTCATTTGCTTTTCGCATCATAATTAGTCACTTGACCACCTTCTATCTCAAATTCATCACATTGAAAACCACATTCACTCATTTATATCACTTATTTGAGTAGAACCAACCTAGTAATTTACTACCAAACTTATGAGGCCAAATGGTTACAAAACATACCAGAGAATACACCCTAGTCACACCAGTAGTGTTTTCGATAATATCCCATCAAAATCATGATGGTCTGATGACATAGAAGGGTCCACTGCCATAAATCAAAAGGAATGTGTATTATCATCGGTTACTACCCACTAATGGACATCAATATTGTCTTGAAATGCTTAAATGTATCTCTCGGTCAATATTAATCTTCTTGTTATCTGCAATTTAAATGGAGTAACCATGCTCCCTAGTTTCATGCACAAGAATCATTTTACGAATTGCTTAAGGAATTCAAAGGATTAGAGAGAAAAATGGTAAGATACAAGGAAAGGCTAAAATAAGCTCCAATTGTAGGCACACTTATGACACTAATATCAAGTATCACATATCAGTAGATAGACACATTCTGTCCTTGTCATTTTTCCATTCATTGTTCTCCCTGTTTGTCTGTACTTTGCACCCAAAACAGAGAACCTAAATTGTGCCAACAAAAATGCTAATATGAGTGTTGAAAAGTTCTATCATCACCCTATGGTATTGTGTTGATTCACAATTTACAAACCTACTCATCATCTCCCCTATTATATATATCTAAGTATATTCGTCAGTCAATTATACTTCCATCTCATGAATTCTAAATCGCTCAGAAGCTCTTCACTCAGCTTTTATATATTATGCACAAAGGAGACCGGTCATCAAGCTTGACCTTCCAAATAAACTTGAAATGAGAGGCCAACAATACTATCTATAAGGAACTAATAGAGTTAACTGCAATTGGAATATTGGATCTCAAAAAAACATATAGCTTAATCTACCTTAACAAAATATATCAATTCAGCATAACCCAATTCATAAATATAGTAAACCAACAAATTAAAATACATGTAGAATTGTGTGTATTATGTATATAGACAAAATATATCAATTCAGCAAAACCCAGTTCATAAATTAAGTAAACCAACAAGTTAATTCATCAAAACATATATACATATATATATATATATATATATATAGAGAGAGAGAGAGAGAGAGAGAGAGAGAGAGAGCGGGGGGTTACCTCCACAGCAGAAACAACAATAGCAGCAAGAGAGGATCATGAGTAGCTCTCGGCAGAATAAAACGGGCCCAGTAAAAACACTGTGTGAATCGGTTTTTGGGTCGACAGAAACATCTTGTTCTTGATCGTTATCCAAGAGTTTCTCTTGATTGATACTGTTGGGAGATTGGTGCTTCTCCGTCTTCATTCTATGGAGGTTCCATTCCAATTTCTTCAGGTAATCGAGCTTGAATGAGTTCCTGATCCTCATCGATGGCCATAGATGCATCTTTCTCTCTCTTGTTTGTGCAAGGGCAAATGAAATGAATTCTCTCTCTCTAGCCCATACTGTGCGGATGTATCAAGAGAAATTAATTGAATTGAATTTGGCTTTTGTTTTAAAATAGGGCAGTGTCATTGTCGATAGCTCAAATAACATAACCTATTAATGAGGAATGCTATCGTGGGGTCGTCCTCGTGACAGTTTTTATTATTATTCTTTATATTTTTTATGATCATGTATAAATAATACGAGAGTGCAGTTTTTAAAAGGATGGTATGAGAATTATAAGTTAAAATTTTATAATAAAATTCATGATCATATAAATCATTTAAATTTTGTTCTTAAAGGCAAAGTGGTGTTGGCAAGAATTCAAAAACTCCTTGAGGTCTCACTTTCAAATCGCATACGTAACTTAAATAGTGCAACCATACGCACGTCCTTTGAAAAAAAAAAAAAAAAACAATTAGTTAAAATTTAAAATTATCTTTAATCATCTGGTATATTTTTATTTGAAAGTATTTTAAACTGATTTTTTTTTTTAAGAGTGAGATCACTTTAATATTAAGTGTGATTTGTCCATTACTTCTATTAAAGTATTAATTATGAGGAAATTTCGTGGTAGTATTAGTTGTTGGAGTATCAATTAAGGCCGTTTTTCAAAAAACATATCTTTTATTTTCACATAATTGAAAACGTTAAATGAAATAGCATGAAAATTGATTAGTGTTTTCAGGGAAAAACAAAATTGGTTCGTTTTAAACCTTTTGGAATTTAGATATGAAACTCTTATTATCAGGATAAAAAAATAAATGGAAAACTACAAAATTGAAGCCTCTTATTTTATTTTCCTAAACAAATTGAAGCCATGTTAAGCGCAAAAGTACAATAAGAACGTTTCTTAAAAGTAAGACTATAAGTTCGGCTGGCCCAATCCCGCCAATCCCATTAAGTTAAAAGTGCAACAATAAACAATCCCATTAAGTTTTTTCATTACATTAATAGGTCATTTATGTAATTTTGGAGGTTTGTAGCCGGTCCAATAAACACCCCGAAGTCCCTAACTAATTCAGAGGGCCCAACGATTCAAGAGTCCAACTGCAATCAAGTGGGACCCAATTTTTTTTTTTTTTTCTTTTTTGGTTTTTTGAGACCCAAATGTTCATAAAACAAAATTTGGCGTGGACATGTTTGGACATCCTTTCAATATCAAAGAATTTATTTGATATTAATATAACAATCCATCTTGGCTAAATATATATATTCATATATATTATATATAAAACAATCCATCATTTTGAATTGGGTAAATTTTTTTATTATATTCAAGGACACTTATCAGATATGTTCTTGAGCCCAAATCTGTAGTTTAAAAGCTCGTCTCATTAATTTATGGGCAAATATTGTTGTACCTTGCGGGTGACAAAATGTATTGGAACCCATTAACATGATCTCTTCTGAAAGCAATTATAATACAAGAAAGATAATAGGCATTGAAGCTTCTTGATCTTTCGATGCTGGGTCCTCTACTACAACATGTTGTAAATTTTAAACATAATTAAATCTCGTCCTTTACTTGTCAAATTACACTTATCTTTCTTCAGATTTGTAGTAAATAATTTATACTTCTTCTTCGTTAACGGTCAACGACCAAAAATATTAATATCAACAATTTTGAAACTTTTAAATTTCAATTCTATTTTTAAAAAACGTGTTTATTGTAATAAAATACAACATGTATATAAGGACAAAAATATAATTACAAACTTAACAAATCTAGCAGTGGTCAATATCGTGACGAAATCTCGGTAAAAGTTATTATAGTTTACCCTTAAATTTATCTAGAATGAGTAGATTTAATGTATTAAAACTACATTTAATTGTGTTGAGCTCCCTCGAGCATGACATAATTAAATCTAACTAGTAGATAGATACTTGAGTATGGCCTCTGATCTCAACCCTCTTCATAGTTGGTTGAGTCCCTTGCTCACAATTATATAAGCAATGGAATAATCACCCCAATCAGCACATGAGATGGTATGCAAGATTAATGAAATTTCACAATTACCATAAACGATTCCATTACATTGCGAACCCGAACCCATACCCATACCCATTACACAAGATCTTCGAACTTGAAATGCTCTACAAGTAAAAAGTAAAATAAAATATACACACCCACATAATATATACATCTCAAATACAGAGTACCATTTGCATCAATAGTGTCAAACTGCATTAATCCTGCAACCTCCGGCATGACTACAACACATGAAAAAGCTGCTTTTGGTGTTAGAAATGAGTAGAGTCCATTCACGTCATATAAAGACTGGAAAATCCAGGTTCGAGAATCCAAAATTGAACGGCGAGATCTCCCGGCGGTTCCGATAAGCGAAGTAGTGGAAAGTAGGATTTGCGAGAAATGAAATACAATGGAGGAAGAAGAAGAAGATGGTGGTGATTGGTGCCATTTCTTTCTAGGTGTTGTGGGTGCTTTTTGAAACTGCTTTGCTTTGAATTTATGGGCTTTTGGTTGGGTATAGACTTTAGAGAGGGCTTTGTTGCTTGTGCTTGAGAAGGTGTGTTGTAAAAGTTTTTAGACTTCTGAGGCAGAATGCTTGATGCATACACCAATTAATTTGCTTCTAGCACGGGAAACTTGATAATGATTTGTTGCTTTTCTTTGGGAAAAGTCGTAACGTGGGTCTGTGATTTGAATGTTTTCACTAAGGTTGTGTTTGGGGAGTTGGAACTTTGGAATGGGCGAAATTAGAGAGAAAAAAAATAGTTAAATTTTAAGTAATTTTGAACCAAATTTTATTCCAATTCTACCAATTTTAATTTTAAAACTCTTATTCCATGTAGTTGAACATAGCATGAAAATCCAAATCCAAGCTGTGACGATTTTCAATTGTTCTTATAGATGATTTTACCAGGTTGATAATGAATTTTGCCAATATTTACCTTTTGTTAACTACTATAATGTTTAATTTTTATTCTCTATGCAAATAAAATAAAATAAAATAAAATAAAAATTATCATTGGAAAGACACAAAGGCCAAGCCATCAACTTAGGCATACAAATCTTAAAGTAAAGATAAAGACATACAAATCTTAAAGTAAAACAAGAAAAAATGAAGAATATAGTCCAAATTTGTTGAGAACAAGAGTCAAAGCTCAAGAACAAAAACAACCACGAGAGAAGAGCAACAACATGAGTGACCCAAAGGCCTAACCATCATCAAGGCAACAACTCTAAAACTACATCCACAAGGCACCTCCAATAAGAAGAAAACCACCCAAACCAGAAGATCAAATCAAATGAAAAAAATCAGATCAAGTTGAGAACAACCAAAATCGACATAAATAAGAGATCTAACCGGAGAAAAAACAGCAGATCCGCTCATATTAGCCGGAAATAAGCTGAACATGAGTAGATCTAACCAAACAAAAACAAAAAAAAGTACGAAAAATACCCACATATCAAACTTATTGACACACGCCGAGTTTATTAAAGCTGTAAAAGACAAAACGACACCTCTCTACTCCCATGGAAGGGAGCAAGGAGAAAAACAGAAGAGAAGAAGGGGTGTGTTACAGAGACAAAGGGTAAAGTTCTTTAAGCAAATACAAATGGGTGAAAATTTATCATTATAATAATGAAATTCACAGTGAGAAATCGGTGTGAGTTTTGATTCATTCATGGAAGCCTTAGGTAGCCTGCGTAGGTGCAAGAGTGTAGATATTAAAATATAGATTTGGACTTAAATTTACATGGATATGCTCATGGTCCATATTAGAGCTTTGAAAAAACTCGAGACAAAAAATAAAATTTGGTATTACTTTGACCAAAGTAACTACAGTATATTCTTGCACTCAAATTGTCATCCTCAGAGCAACCCCAGCATAAGCAAAGTGTACAATATGTGAGTCTGTGTGGGATGAAAGGCTCTACTATGCGGATTACACATTAGTGAGGCCCATCTCATATTACACATTCCAGTCTTCACAGCTAAAGAATAAAGTAGTGCCTAACAATGAGCAGAAGCGACAGGCGCAGTGGGCCACTGCGTGGGCCATTGTGTGTGAGATAATGATATAAAATGAAAAAATGATATTGTGTGATGGTGTGTAAAATAATTATTGTATGTGTATTGGATTTATTAATTAATGTAAAAATAGTCATATTTTAATTAATTAAAAAAAAAGTCATTTTTTCTAAATAAATAAAAAGAGTCATTTAATTTGCATGAGGTACTTTTTGACTTACCAATTTTATTTATTTATTTATTACATAATAATTTAATCAGTTTGCATAATAATATAAAAAATAACATTTTATTCAATTAATAAATTTAAACATCTTTATCACGTACTGATTTAATTAATTCGCATAATAATATAAAAATTATATTTTATTCGATTATACCAAATTTAAACATCTTCATCACCAAATTAATTCCACAAATGTTCCATCAGATATCTTCTGAGATCAGCATTTTCTGCTCTATTACGAATTCTTCTAAAACGACTGGAAATGTGTGCCGCCAACATTGTTGGGTTTCGAATGTATTGTGGGAGGGATATTGGCTCATTCGGAGGAGGTGTCCATTACAAAATGTGTCCGCGCTCATCTTCAATGATCATATTATGCAATATGATGCGCATTCTCATTATCTTGTTTAAATCTTCTTTATCCCAATAATATAGAGGTCCTTTCGTCATAACCCACCTGATCTGCAACACGTCAAACGCTCGTTCAACATCTTTCCTAATAGTTTTTTGTTTTTTAGCAAACAATTTCTCTTTACCAATTATTGAGTGTGGGATGGTCTAAATCAAAGTTGCCCACTTGGGATAAATACCATCATATAGGTAATACCCCATTGTACATCGATGCCCATTTACCTCATAATTAATCGGAGGTATTGTGCCATTGATCAGGCTATTGAATACTGGGGAATGATCCAAGACATTCACGTCATTGTTTAAACCAGCCATACCAAAGAAAGCATGCCAGATCTACAGTTCTTTCGATGCAACCGCCTCCAATATGAGGGTAGCCTTATGATTTCTTTCCTTGTGTGTGCCATGCCACCCTGTAAGGCAGTTCTTCCATACCCAATGCATACAATCTATAGAGCCAAGCATACCTGGGAAGCCTCTTTCCTCCTCTTCTCGAAGCAGACGTGCAATGTCATCTTCGTTCAGTGTACGTTGGTACTGCCCTGCATACACCGCAATTATAGCATCACAAAAGCGTTTCAAGCTTTCAAACGCAGTGGTTTCAGAAATCTTTATGTACTCATCACAAAGATCTGCTGAAATTCCATATGCGAGTATGCGTATTGCAACTGTCATTTTCTGTATAGGAGTGAAACCCATACGACCGAGGGCATCAGGCTTCTAGATGAACCATTCATCATATGATGTAACACTGTTTAAAATGCGAATAAACAACTATCGGCGCATCCGAAATCATCTACGAAACATCTCGGTTGGAAAAGTGAAATTTTCAGCAAAATAATCTTAGAATAGTCGCTGGGCTGCTTCCTCTCGATCACGTTTAATATATCTTTTCTTACGATGCCGAAAAAATGCTTTTACCTTCTCAGGCAATAACAGTTGCATCACTGCATTCATCCTTTTTTTACGTTCTTCAAAAAAAAATTCCCTGTAAGAAGATGAAAAGGAACTCAATGGAGAAATTGACCCGGACACTGGAATAGATTGTGATGATGAAGCCATTTTTTTTCTATAATAAAGATAAAGACTCAACGAAAAGAAAATGAATTCGAATATGTAAAGAAGTGGACTTGGTAATTGAAAAAAATGAGAGAATCAGTTGTTTATATAGCCATTGAGAATATAATTGTTGAAGAAAAAACAAACAGAATATATCCGTTAGGAAAAAGACAAACATAATATAGCTGTTAGAATAAGACAAACATAATATAACCGTGAAAATAAGTGTATAACCACATTATTAGTAATTGATTGTACATTTATTTTGTAGACTTCAAATTCTTGTTGTACATTCATTTTTTCATTTTACACTTTATTATATTATTATTTTTAAAAAATTAAAATAAAATTTATTATTATTATTATATTATTATTTTTTTCTAACAGTTTTATTCTCAACAACTATTACTAATGACTATAATTATTTGCTCCGATTATATATTTAGACACAAGATTTTACATATATATATATATATATATATATATATATATATATATATATATATATATATTAAAAAACAATAATATTACTTATTTTCACGGTTATATTATGTTTGTCTTATTCTAACGGCTATATTATGTTTGTCTTTTTCCTAACGGATATATTCTGTTTGTGATGATGGAGCCATTTTTTTTCTATAATAAAGATAAAAACTCAAAGAAAAGAAAATGAATTCGAATATGTAAAGAAGTGGACTTGGTAATTGAAAAAAATGAGAGAATCAGTTGTTTATATAGCCATTAAGAATATAGTTGTTGAATAAAAAACAAACAGAATATATCTGTTAGGAAAAAGACAAACATAATATAGCCGTTAGAATAAGACAAACATAATATAACCGTGAAAATAAGTAATATTATTGTTTTTTAATATATATATATGTAAAATCTTGTGTCTAAATATATAATCGGAGCAAATAATTATAGCCATTAGTATTAGTTGTTGAGAATAAAACTGTTAGAAAAAAATAATAAAATAATAATAATAATAAATTTTATTTTAAATTTTTAAAAATAATAATATAATAAATTGTAGAATGAAAAAATGAATGTACAACAAAAATTTGATAACGTGGTTATACACTTTGCATAAAGTGTGGAATGGGAAACAACCCCACTGGTGGGGTTGCTCTCAATTAATGAAAATGGATATCGACTCATCAAAGATATGATTCATATCTTTAGCTGTAGTCAAAGCCTCGTGCATGTTTGTCAATTATTGGGCCATTTAAAGTTTTTTCCCAGTAAATTTTAAGGCCAACCCACTTGGGATCATGTCGTATGTATTCATCATAAGTGTCTAATCTTAAATACCCATGGTATTATTTTGGAGAAAATATTAAATACTCTTAGTATTGTTTTGAAAAAAATATTAAATATGAATGTGGTGATGAGCCTCACCACATTCATGGAGTGGGATGACCATATTATACCGTGTATACTTTTCGTATTATAGATTAGACAAAAGTTATTTTATTTGTTTTTTCAATTGCTTCATAACCGCCGTTTCTAAGTCCTACTAATTAAAAACACACATTTCAAATGCTTCATAATGACCCTAAAAATCGCACAAAAAGAAATCCACTGATTAACTAGTTTAAGATTAGATTGAAAGGTAGAGTAGCAAGACAAACATGTCGATAATCCAAAAGAGACTTTATCTACATTTCCATGGTCCTTAGATACTCTCGTCCTCACATCTAATCATGAACAATAAAAACAAAGAGAAACAATGAGAGCTCAAGAAAGAAACCTCCAATACATAGCACAAACCATCGATCATCCGTTATTCATTTCCTTTTTCTCATTTCGTCTCTTCCTTTTGAATTTTTCCCACAACACAATCAAGAAGGAAGCATGAGTTCTCTCTAAGAAATCAGGTATGGGGATTGCTCCTGAATGACCCCAGGGCTTTCACGGCTCCGGCTCTCGAGATGAATTTGTTGTACAAGGCTGCAATGACTGCACCTTTGAAGGGTCCAACCCAAAAGATCCACTGAAAAATAGATTAACAAAACAAATTTAAGGTCAGATAACTATTAATCTTAAAAAAAAAAAAAAAAAAAAAAAAAAAAAAAAAAAAAAAAAAAAATGATGATGATCAATGAGATTTTGGGGAAAGATACTGACTTGGTCCTCCCATGCCTTTTTTTGGCCGTAGATCACTGCAGTTCCAAGGCTCCTGGCAGGGTTGATGCCTGTGCCGGTGATTGGAATGGTGGCCAAGTGAACCATGAACACTGCGAATCCGATTGGAAGTGATGCCAATACCTTGAGAATTCGGAACCAAACACAAAGCCATATTGTTTCATCTTCAATTTGGGTTGTTTAGTTGTGATGGTGTGGTTGGGAGTAGGTGGGTGGAAAAAAAAAATTTGTAAACAAAGGGTGTTGTTTGGTTGTGATTTTTTTTTTTAACATATCTCTAAATTGATTGATAGCAAAGAGTATTGAATGATGTAGTTGTGTCAGTTAGCTTTGATTGTGTGTTTGGGAATGGGTGGAGAATTTTTTTTTTTTTTTTTTTTTTTTTTTTTTTAAATTTGGTTAACTAATTTTGAAACTCAAATTGAAGATTACAAATCTTTTTATTTTTCTTGTTTGGGAGAGAAGAAAGAGGGGCTGAATAATTCTAGAACGTGATGAGATCTTTTAGATGCAAGAATAGACGGTTAAGATTAAGCTATAATTTTTTTTTTTTAAGAATCAATTGTTGTGAACATGCGTAATACGCAAGTAGGAGAGAGAGATTAAGCTTTCCAATCCGAAAAATATTTGAATTCGGGTTCATGGGTAGAGCCTATTTTGAACTTTTTTTTAATAAAAATTTTATTGTACTTATGTCATCTTATTATATTTTTATAAAATTTTAATGGTAAGTAATACACTGCATTTTCAATACTAAAAAATATCTTAATACATACATATTCTGCCATGATATTTTTAAAAAAAAAAAATTAAAATTAAATTCAAATGGGAAAAAAGAGGGAAAAAAATTAGGCCGATGTTTTGAAAAATAAAAATAAAAATAAGACAAATGGGTTGACCCGTATACCTGCTCGGCCGTAAATATTCAGATTGGGTCTCACGAGTTGAAACCCAAGTTTGGATTACATCGAGTTGGCCCAACCTAATCCAAAGTCGGATTGAGGTTAGGTTTGGCGCGGGCCAGGGCGGGCAACCCCAAGTTGAACCCCTAATTATTGGCCCATTTAAAGTTTAATTATTTGCCCAACCCACTTGGAATCATGTTGTATGTGCAATGTGAGAGGGTATGGTGATCCATCACAATTCACAAGCACCTAACCTTTATCTCATGTTTTGATTAAACAAAGTTACTTTCTTTGTTTTTTCAATTGCTTGCTTCATAAGGGGACCCTTTAAGTCGTACTAATAAAAAAATCCACTTTTAGACAAATGATCATTTCAAATGCTTATATCATACAAATGACCCTTAAGTCGTACTTTACTAATTAAAGACATACTTTAGACAAATGATCATTTCAAATACTACATAATGAATGACCCTAAAAATCATACAAAAAGAAAGAAAACCACAGATTAACTAGTTTAAAATTAGATTGAAAGGTAGAGTATAGCAAGACAAACATGTTGATAAGACAAAAGGTTCCCTTTCCAAAAGAGACTTTATCTACATTTCCATGATGGTCCTCAAATACTGTCCGTCTTCACATCTAGTCATGAACAATAAAAAAAAACAAGAGACAATGAGAGCTCAAGAAAGAAACCTCCAAAATACATACATAGCACAAACCATCCATCATCCATTATTCATCTCCTTTTTCGCATTTCGTCTCTCTTCCTTTTCAATTTTCCCACAACACAATCAAGAAGGAAGTATGAGTTCTCTCTCTAAGAAATCAGGTGTGGGGACTGCTCCTGAATGACCTTATAGCTTTCGCGGCTCCGGCTCTCAAGATGAGTTGGTGGTAGATGAATGCAATGGCTGCACCGATGAAGGGTCCGACCCAAAAAATCCACTGAAAAATAGATTAACAAAACATACTTAAGGTCAGATAACTATTAATCAAGAGAGAAAAAAAAAAAAAAAAAAAGATGATGAACAATGAGGTTTTGGGTGAATATACTGACTTGGTCATCCCACGCCTTTTTTTGGCCGTAGATCACTGCAGCTCCAAGGCTCCTGGCAGGGTTGATGCCCGTGCCGGTGATTGGAATGGTGGCCAAGTGAACCATGAACACTGCGAATCCGATTGGAAGCGGTGCCAATACCTTGAGAATTCGGAACCAAACACAAAGCCACATTAGTATGAATCATTTCAATTGTGGGAATAGATCATTGCTAGTTAAGTAAGGTCCAAATGTGTGTGCAATTGTGCATCATAGTAAAAAATAAAAAATAAATAAAACTAGCCACTAGGGTTTTTTTAGGGCAAAACCATAAGTTGAAATACATATAGGGAAAGCTTTTTCCACAGTTGGCTCTAGTTTGAAATGAATGCAATAATTTTCTACAAGACAAGCATTTTGCTAACTATTTTTCCTTGCAAACAAAGGGGTTGAGGGCGAATCTCCGGCGAGGCCATTTAGCTTGCCTCTAGTTAGAAAATAGAATTGTATAAAAATACTAACAAAAAGCTGATATTGTACGTTCTCGTTGGACAAGTATTATCGATAATGTGATATGCACAGCGAACTCAATATTTACTCAATTGGGGGGGGGGGGGGGGGGGGGGGATAAGGATTTTTTTTTGGGGACTTTTTGCAAAAGAAAACGTCGTCTATTCCTCACGTTATTGTTGGTGTTGCCAGAACCACATCAAGGTCATGGGCCCAAAATTGATATAGATAAGACTCAAGCATGGAGAATCCACCATTAAAGTGTGGAAAAATAATAATAGAAGCTATGGACCACATCAAGGTCATGGGCCCCATACTAACCACTCTTAAAGGAAAAAGAAGACAAACTCGAGTGTTCCCTTTTTGGCCTCTAGCCATCACAAATGACAACCACAAGTTCTTTACCCTACCACAAATTCTTACCCACCCCACTGCGCATGCCAAATACATATATATATATATATATATATATATATATATATATATAAATTGCATTAATCTAATAATTAAATAATACACTTCTTTATAAATCTTTTTGGGTAGGTAAACAGGGACTTTGTCCTCTTTGGTAGATACTTAATTATATATATCACATATCAAGAAAATTATTAAATATTTGATTAATAAAACAATCAAAATAAAATTCTAACTACAACATTGAAAAATTAAATAAAATTTAATTTGAAACATTATATTGAATTTATAGGGAAAAAAACCGCTCAACTATGAGATAATCTTTGGCATGGAATTGAAATGATACATGACTATTAACTAATTGTTATATATCATATTATCAAGGTATAATTAAAATGGACCACTTTTAAGGTATATAATATTTACACTCCAATAACACTTTGTCTGAATGTGAAAACGTTTTTACTACACTATTTTCCTATTTGTAAATGGTAACACACTATTTAAATCTTCAATTCTTGATTATCGCTGGTCTTTCTATTCTTGTCAGGAAAAAAACAGAAAAAAACTCATTGCATTTAGTTGAAAAAAACCATATATATATATATATATATATATATTACTAACATGTCTGAATTTTTAATAAATCAAATGACAAATTACACCCTACAAACTAAAGTGAATAATTTTTGAGTAATTAGTTCACAATTGTAGAGTGGGGCTGTGTGCTTTTTACGACACAGATTATGTGATTAAAAATGTAGAAAATCATATATATATCTATATATATATATAAAAGTATAAATTTGTGGGCTTACAGGAACATGGGAGTCTCTTGCACTCCGCTTGGGATCAGTGGCAGAGAAGACGGTGTAAACGAGCACGAATGTTCCGATGATCTCGGCCGCCAATCCGACGCCGGTGCTGTACCCCTCGGCGAGCTCGTTAGCTCCACCGCCGTACCTCTTGTAGTGTGACCTCTGGAAGGCCTTCACCAGCCCAGCACCGCAGATGGCCCCCAAACACTGAGCCACCATGTACATCACAGCTCGGATCAGAGACACCTTCCGAGCCAATAACAGCCCGAATGTCACTGCTGGGTTAATGTGACCCCCTGTGCATTCCACCATAACATTAGCATCAGAAGCTAACTTGCGCCAAAACAAACTTCACAATTACAAATAAGTCCTCCTTGAAACAAACTACTCCGTATAATTTTTTTTTCTTTTTTTTTTCTTTTTTTTGGCAATTTTTAAGTTTTTTGTCGAAAACAAAAAGGAAATTTATATATATATCATTCAAACAAAGTACTCCGTATAAATTAAAAATATATATATAGAATCTGCTTTGTTCATTTTTAAATAATAATAATAATAATTTCAACTGAAAAATAAATTAATTAATTAATTACTTTTGTTTTGTATATAAATTTTTGAAAACAAAAACTAGGAGGTGCTTGATTTATCACTTAAAAAACAACTCTCAACAAGGGAAAAGTTTTTTTTAAACAAGTTTTTTTAAATAAATTTTTATAATTTAGTTTTCAAAAACTATCAGACAAGCAAATTTTAATACAATTTCTTGATTTTCAATTTAAACAATAGAAAACTGTTTTTTTGAACACGTGTTTTATTCTAACTGAGTTTTCCTAAATCAGTTCTCAAAAGCTGTCAATCAACCAGATTTCATATAATTTTTTTGATTTTCAGTTTTTAGCAAACAAAAAATGGTTTAAATTGTTTTTAAAAAACGGAAGTAAGTAACCACCACTAAGAACTTTTCTTGTTGAAAATTTTCCAGGAAAAATGAGAGGGAGAGAGAAAACCGACCAGAAATGCCGGCAGTGCAGTAAACAAGGACGAAGATCATGCCGCCGAAGGCCCAAGCGATGCCGAGGATGCCGACGCCGCCACAGGGATCGGCGTTATCCGTCTGGCTCTTGTACCCGATCACCGTCAAAACCGTAATGTAAAGGAAGAGGAGAGTGGCAATGAACTCGGCTATGAGAGCCCTGTAGAAGGACCACTTGGTCAGCTCCACCGGGTCCAAGAGCGGCGCCGGCGGCGGGTCGTGGTAGTCCTTGGCGGAGAAGGAGCCTTGCTCCGGCACCCCTACGTCCTTCGTCATTTGCTGAACAGAAAGTTTAGAGAGAGAAACAGGGCGAGAGAGAGAACCTAGAGAGAGAAAGAAAGAGCTAGCTGTTAGTAGTTTTGATGGGAGAGAGTTTGTGGAGTGGAAAGGGAATTGAGAGGAGGGGTATATATGAGGGAGAGATTGGGTTGGAATTGATTTTTTAAGGAATTGTTTGGGTAATTAATTGGTTTGAAATTTTGTCATAATACCAATAATTCTGATCCATTTCGCTTTCACCGACCCGCCCACCATACTCTGACCCGCCACCCACCTCCCATTTTCTTTTGTTTTGTATTTTGTATGTATATACAGGTCTTTGTACACTGCCACTTGCTGTAAATCCGTATGTTTTGACGGATCGATAAAAAAAAGTTGGTTCTTGGTCTCTGTTTTGTACAGTATGTTTTGGTTGGACATTCACTAAAATCTATATAAAAATTGGTGGTTTTTACAGTGGAAGTGGTGTTCTCTCACACTCACCAACTACTTCCGACGATAAGTTAAAATGAGTTTGTTTGGTTAAGCTAATTAATTGTCAAGAATTCATAAAATAGATTGTTTTTATTAGGTTTGATGAAATCAGTATTAAAAATTATCAACAACATTTTTAAAAAATTTCAATCTGTTTTTTGTTATTTAAAAAACAAAAAACAGCATTTCAAATGAATTTTGTTTTTATGCTCATTACTCACAAAATAAAACAGCTTATCCTTTTCTAGCATTTCTAACTACCTTTTCCAAACAGATGAAAGATTTATAATTATAAATCTTTTTCTTTCTTCTGATTATTTTCTTTTATAACTAATGTTATCAACTTTCTCCTCTTCTACTTTTTTCGTAAAAAAAAAAAAATTGTTAAAAGCATTCACTTTTTCCAAATATATTAACATGCAAATCAATATTCACAAGTTGTAATACGAAGTCCAAACTCATCAACTATATTTGTGTGAAGGAATGATGATTTAATAACGCGTTATCTGTTAATATCATTTTCACTCAAATAAAAAAGTCGAATGTGTTCGACTCTCAAATTACTCATTATATTACTGAATTCGTAAAAATTGTGCAAAAAAACACCTTCACAATTTTATATATGCATATAAATCTCTACCATTTAAATTATGTGTAAATTGCTCCTTAACAGTCAATTTTGACTATTTTTTTATTAAAACCCAAAATATCTTTAATAGTCAATGGTTTTTTTTTTTTTTTTGGTGTGTCATAAAGGCATTATAAATATTTCAATTTTTAAATTGACAAACTATGCTTATTTGCTCAATTTAAAAAGCGTAGGGTTTTTTTAACAATGGGGTATTTATATATTATGTACACAATAATACTGTATGATTTTACTTTTTATTTATTTACACTTTGCTATAATAATTCTCTTTACAAAATAAATTTTGATATATATTATATTGAAACATTTTTTGTGCTAATTATATCAACTAAATGTTTCACTAATTACTAAAGACTTTTTGAATTGCACTTCTAACTTGACTGATGTATGTGTTATGAGACTTATACACCTGAAGGTTTTAGCTACACCAGTTGAAACAATGCTTTGTTATAAACTTTGCAAAATTACTTCCTTGTTCTAAAAGTTATGTCAAAAAATTGTCAAATTAGTGATTGGGTGGAACATGACATGAAAGCCACCAAATTAATACTGTATAAAGTTTTGATTAGTTTGAATGAGATTGTCATATGATCGGTTATGTATACACATCAAATAGTGATATTGAACTACATAAGTCCACAAAAATTATCCTCCAACTCATATATATAGCAATAAAACATTAATTTCAAACAATGATTAAGGTAGTTTCTTATTCGAATTTGATACCAACATTCCAGCACAAATTTTAAATGAATTTTTTAAAAATTTTGACATTACATATAACCATATCTAAGTAATTAGATAATACCACAGTACCTTTGATAAAAGAAAACGAGAGCGAGAATGTAGAATTTATTTATTCTGGTATTTGAAATTTGAATAGTTAAAAATAGAAAGAAAAAAAAATTGTAAATACGTTCGATTTAATAGAATTGATGTCTTAAAATTAGTAAATTAGATAATATTTATTAATAATTTTTTTTAAAAAAAAAAGGAAAAAAAAAAAAAAGAACTGCTATATATGGATACAAAAGGATTCCCCAGGTAACTCAAGTTACTCTCTAGTAGCCAAACAAGAAGCAAACGGAAAGAATCAAACTTTGTACAAAGCTACCAAGTACTAGCAGCAACTCATTGACTGGACAACCTTATACAAAACCAGCTAAACAACAACTCTTGCGCCAAAGAAGCAAATATGTATATGTGTGTGTGTGTTCTATTCATTGAATTTGAAATATATATTAAAGAAAAAAGTGTTTTATTTTAAAAATTGAAAAGAATAAGAAAGAAATTCATTTGTTACAAAAAAAATAAATAAATAAAACAAATAACTATGACCTATTAAAATTTCTCACTTTTTTTACCTTTTATTTTTAAAAAAATAGAGGAAGCAATTAGAACTAGTATTTTAAATCGTGTACATCTTCTCCTTTCTTTTTTTATTTTCTTTCCCTTATTCTTTTCAACCCAAACACAATAAAAACTCTTATTTCTCCTTTTTCTTTTCTTTCCCTTCACCCCTCCAGTAGCTGCTACTTAGGCTTAGTTTGGTTGAAGGAAAATGAAAATAGAAGAAAAGAAAGAAAAAAAATGGAAGAAAATGTTTGGTAATTTTTTTATATTATTATTGTAAGTGAATTTCTCATTTTGCCCTTGTCACTTATAAAATAAAATAATAATTTAATTCCTTCTCTTCTCACTATCTTTTTCAAACCCAATAATGTTATTTTTCTCTTTGTAAGGTTACCAACTTACCATTATGGAAAATACAGCATACATGAACATTCACCATCCACCAAAGACTTTCAGTCAATAGTCAATAGCATCAACGTGTCCTGTTAGTTGTTACTATTGGATCCGGAGGTAGCAGAAGACTGATTGACTACGTACAGAAATAAATGCACAAGAGATACGTGGAACACTCTTAGCCATTTGTTCGTATTTTGTAGACAATTCTAGACGTCTCCGCCGACCGGAAAAAAACACAAGAAAATGAATGGTCTATGATGGACAGCCGGTTTGTCTTTTATTGAACACTAAGGAGGATCAATGTAAATCTCTCCAAACTCGGGATCATGGTCCCAACCAATCCATCGATTCCGTTTATGTTTAGCCTCTCTTTCATTGTCGAATAAAAAAAAAATCCATCGATTCAGGACCACATTATTATCCTATAGTTACCATCTCAAGAAGACTTGTCATGAATAATTGGAATTAGACTAAACGTCGGCTATAGATTGAACAAAATATTTGATATTTCAATTACAATTATCAATTTATCGATTCAGAACCTCTTTGTTTTCTAATTGTCAATCCATCAATTCAGAGCCTCATTATTGCCCTATAGGTACCATCACAAGCAGACTTGTCATGAATAATCGGACTTTGAATCCGATCTGATTAATAAGGTATGAATTTAACAAAATATTTGGTAATTTGATTGCAATTTGAATTTGATAACTCGTTAGTCTAACAAATTGAATCTGAATAATGCTGATTCGATTTGAATAAAATTATATATATATATATATATATATATATATATATATATATATATTATCACAAGTAGACTTGTCATGAATAATCGGACTTTGAATCCGATCTGATTAATAAGGTATGAATTTAACAAAACATTCGATAATTTGATTGCAATTTGAATTTGATAACTCGTTAGTCTAACAAATCGAATCTGAATAATGTTGATTCGATCTGAATAACATTATATATATATATATATATATATATATATATATATTTGTATTAGAATTTAGAAGTAAAAAATAATAATAATCATAATATTATATGTATAATAGATGGTGTTCTCACTACATATTAATAAATCTCCTAATATACATTTTAATAATGTCATAATATTTATTTATTAACAAAAAGTAAATAATTTTTTTTTTTTTCTTTCATATATTATTTTCTATCATTTTTTTTTCTAATAATTGATTTTTATTCTCTTTTGATATTAATTTCTGATGGAGATATAAATTAAATACCCGTAAATAAGGGAAGGTTGTTAAATTAACGCGTTATCTCATAAGATTGAGATAGGCTCTACAGATTACGATAAGGATTAAAGCTAAAGATTACGATAAGGATTAAACATACAGATTACTATAAGGATGAAGACAGCGGTAACTCTATGTGACATCCTGACCTAAACCCTATAAATAAATGGGGCTAATCGACGTTTAGAGGTATGCAATAAATCCTAATTCAATTTCTTGATTTCTCTAGAGGATTACTTCTCACACTGACTTGTTCGTCGGAGCCTACTCCACCGATAACACACCGATATTTGTAGGATCACCTTTTCTTCTCTTTATTCAGGAAGTCAGATCAGATCCGGGTTACGCAGAATTCATCATCAACAATTTCTTTTCTTTTCTTTTCTTTTTTTAAAAAAATAATAATAATTACACCTTTATCGAATCGGATCGGATTATCGGATCAAATATATATTTATTAACAAATCGGATATGAATTCACTTACAAAAATTTCGTCGGATTATCGAATCGAATTAGATCCAGTAAAAGGCTTGTCAGAATCGTATCAGGTCGGATCATGCCATATCCAGTCCAAATCCGTTGACATGTTTACTCTCACGTGACCAATAGTCCGAGACCATATAATAATTTTTTAAATGTGACAAAGAAAAAATAACAAATTATGGTAAGGTCCTTGGAGCCATTTGTAATACTCCTAATTTTAAAATGATAGTCTCGGTAGTTTATTTTGAAGTTTTATTGTAATTTTTGCATTTTATGTGGTTATTTGGCTATTTCCTTGGTTATTTGCATTAATTGTTATTATTTGATTTATTTGCATTATTTGGATTATTTGATTTAAGTGACTTATTTAAATTAATTGATAAATTGTATTTTAGTTTTCAGTGAATTAATTAATGGTTTAGTTGGTGTAATATTTAAGTGGAATTAAATTAGGGTTTTGGTTATTTTTCTTCACCCTGGAGCCGACCTAGTTTTCCCGTCTAGTATTAGGACTAGAATTAGGGTAAACTTATGGGCCTATAAATACATGTATTACCCTATTCACGACTGTGGAGGCAAAGAGAGAACAGGGGAGGGATTACAGCAAGAATCACCGGAGAACTTAGGAGGGTGACGGTGCAAAACTAAATGCAAGTTCTAATCCTTACTATTTTCCTTTGGCTCGTATTCTTTGCATTCTTAACACAACTTCAGGAGTAAAGGAATATAAACATTAATCTGTTTTGCATGTCTTATGTATTTAAGTCAGTATGTGTTTTCCTATATCGTAAACTTGATTGTTTGAATTTTTCTTACTTAATTCATGATTTTAGACGGACGTTGAATTATTGAATAAGGAACTGAACTAACTCTGGAACACGTTGGGGAAACCTTAAAATAAGTCTGGGTTTCATGGTTGATTTGTTTAAGCCGTGAACGTTGATGTACTGTAAGTTGCTCGGTTTGAATCCTTATTGCATAGTTCGGGTTTTTAATTGTTGTCGATTAACAAATAAAGGGTTTAATGGCCTATGGAACACAAGGGACTTAATTTACACACCTAGATGTCTTAGGAATGGAGGACAGACCGTCAGAGAACCGCCGGAGTTGACAGATACGAAGAACAGAAGGAGAGCTGGCTCCGGTTGGAGGGGAGCCGGCTCCCCAAATGAAAGAGCAGGCTCCCTCAAGGAGGGAGCCGGCTCTAGGGTCCATGGAGGCGGCTCCCCATGGTGGGGAGCCGGCTCCAAGCTTGAGGAAGGCGACTCCTTCTTTGAGGGAGCAATCTCTCTCCAGTTTTGCATTTTTCTGGGTTTTTCGACGACTGTTTCGGCTATGGTGCTTGGATTTTAGAATTTTTAGGTCCTGGTAGGAGTTGTATTGAGGTGTTTGGAGATGTTCTAGGCTGGATTAAAATCTCTGATGGAAGATTTATGCAGAATAAAGCAACCTTGTGTTTAGTTCGTCAGTAGACATGGTTGAAATAAATTAGTTACTATCTCTGGATGAAAGAACTTTGAGTTGCTTAAATTTTAGAATAGTAATCTAAAGTAATATTTTTCTCTGTTAATCCTGCCTCTGTGTTATAAAAATAAGCTTGTGAATTTATATATTTTAGTATGCTTATTTGGGTTTAGTTGGTTTACTGTTTCTGGGAGAAAATGATTTTAAATTGCTGCATTATAGGATAGCAATTCTCGTTGATGGTTTCTTTTAAAAAAATCAATTATGTTCCAGTGTTATGAAAACTAAGCCTGTGAAGTTATATACTCTGTTGTGCTTACTTGAAATAAATTGGTTTACATGTATGTCCTGTTGAATCAATTATTGGACTTTGCGAAGCAGTATGGAATAAGCCTATTAATTTATATAATTGTATCATGCTAAATATGGAACAGTTGATCTTTTTATTTAATATTTTGCCATCAATTGTTGGATATATGAAATAGTTGATAATTACATTTATTACTTGTTTTATCAACTGCTGGATGTTGGATTACATGAGCCGGTATGGGACGGTGGCATGTCTAGGTTTGGATTAGTTTCAAAATACTAAATCCTACCCACATGGAATAAGGGAATGGATTATAAAATAAATCCTACTTATACTTAAGTCAAAGAAACTGCACAAGTTGAATGACTAACTGGATTACTGGTTATCTATGTTAAGTTAAAGAAGTTGCACAAGCTGAATGACTAACTAGATTTCTTATGGATGGATAGGATAGGACTTTAAATATATTTTTATGGTACCGTGATATGAGCTTGAATGTCAGAGTCGTTGGTTAGGGAGCGTATATGCAGTAGGATGCGTAACTGGATATGCTAGGTTGAGGTATACCCTGTTAAGCTTAGGTACTCATGCTCACTCAGGTGCGCTTTGCATGTTACCTTCTATTCAGGTTGAGACCCCTTGTATAGTCCAGTGAGAGTCCTGTAGTGTGGATGTATAAATATATATGGATTATATAGATATTGTTGAGTTGGTTAGAATGTATATGCGTATCGAGTCTCTACTTGGATTGTAGTAGGATAGAACTTGTTCGTGGGCCTAACCCACTTCTATTTTTTCAGGTACTCGTCAGTTCCAAACTTAGACCTGATCGTGCTAAGTAGAGATTTCTACTCACTCTTCCGACGACGTAAGACTTCTCTCCTTGGTTTTCCTTTTGGATGTTCTTTTAGCTATTTATATTTCAGTTTGGATTTTTGGTATTAGGGGTCCGATGGATGGATTCCCGAGTTATTTAACAGTTGGAGGTTTTGGATTTTAAGTATTTAATTTTTAAAGGATTCAATTTTAGTTTTCTTCCAGCAATGAATTGTTTATTTCATATCCAGTTTTGTAATCTATGTTCATTTAAAATACTTTAATTGTTTAGTATTCCCTCGAGTTTAGGCCTGGGCCAGATCAACCCGTGTCTCGGATCCGAGGGGTATCACACCATTAGTCCTAACTTATGACATAATAATATATAAACAAAAAATGTAAAACAAAGCTGACATAAAATCAATCTTGTCGTCGTGTGATTAATTCGAGACTAATGATTCGAGAATCATATAATAATAATTTCTCATATAAATAAAATATAAAAAAAAAAAAAGTGTATAACTATGGCCATATAACAAATAAATTATCCATTTTTTGCATTAAATTCATGTTGACTAAATATTTAACCTAAAACTCTTTTATAAAATTTAGTTATTTCAACTTTGGGATCAACGTTAGAGAATTAACCACTAAAGGGAAAGAAATGTTGGAGTTATGTTTCAAATTAATTTTTAATAACTCTATATTTATGAAGACTTTAAGTCTTGGCTTTACTATATATTTATGAAGACATAAAATTTTTTTGCAAACTCTAATTCAAAGGATTTTCACCTGATGCAATTAATCAACTATATTGATATATTATTTATGAGTTAAGTTTAAAATATATTAAATACTTTATTTAATTATGTCTTCTATAAATAGTAGGTTTACAAAGCCTATAAAACACATACTCTCAATACAAGTAAGAGATAAAAAGAGATTTTATAAAAGTGTTTTCAAACTACTGAGTTTAAGTGTGCGAGTTTCATATTTTTTGTTGATTGGACGGATATAAATACACAGGTTCATGAAGAAGAAGTGCAACATTCATGAACACACAGTTTTGATATCTGGGCTTAGTTGAATCCCGAAAATAGTGCTGTCATTTGTCTTCCGTTGCACGTGAAAGAGGTTTCAACTATCTTCAAGAAGCGATTACGCGCCTCTAAGCCTCGATACTCACCATTTTAATATATCGGTTCCAATAATTTGAAAATAGTTTTCTCGCCAATGGCTTCATCATTGTTGTTGTCCAACGCTGTTTCTTCGGTTTTTCAACCGAATATCGAGGCTTTTGATGGTAAAAATTACCTTCGATTTTTCAGCTTATGTCTTGACTGAGCCATGTCCAACTCCTCCAGGAGACAAGACGCTGTCTGATCAAGTTAGTTCGATCAACGAGAAGATCTCAAGGTGGATTGACGATGATTACTTTTGTCGTAATCATATCCTTAGTGGTATGGTCAACATCTTTTATGATCAATACTCGAAGAAATGCAAGACCGCTAAAGAGTTATGGGACATTCTCAAATTAGTCTACACAACTGAGGAGGCCTGCACCAAAAAGCTCTTGGCTTCTAATTATATAGGCTTCAAGATTGAAGATAGAAGGTCACTCTTTAAGCAAGCACAAAAATTTTAACTCATAACAAACAATATTATTGCTGCTGGAATGTCTCTTGACGAGAACTTCCATGTAGGGGTTATTGTTACAAAACTCCCTCTGTCTTGGAAGGATTTTCGTAATAAACTCATGCACAAAAGGGAAGATATTACTCTAGAGCAATTAATGCAACACATCTTCATTGAAGAAGAAATCAGAAAACGTGATGTCAAGCAAGATTCTAAAGAAACAACAGTAAAGCTTATGTTGTTAAGGAAAGGTCTCACAACAAAACCGTCAAGAAGAATCACAAGAATAATGATTTGAAAGCCAAGTCTTCTGAAAGCTTCAAAATTAGGCCTGATCACGGCTCGGATCGATTCGGTTTGGGGATAAATCCCAAGCCAAACCAGTCCCCACGGATTGGTTAAAACTGAAACCGAACTGATCCGTGGGAACATTCAATCCAAACCAAACCGATCCGTGAGTTAACGGATTAGATCGGATCGGTTCCTCAGATTGGGCTGATTGGGCTTTTCAAACAGCCCATTCAATTATGGCCCATTATCAGCATTCAATTATGGCCCATTAATAGCAATATATTAGATTTGTAAATCCATATACCTAATAACAATTATAAGAGCAATAGATTTATATAATAGCAATAAAATTTCAAAATATATTTGGCACATATAAATATCACCACAAACTTAAATTACCTAATAACAAAAAAAAAAAATTGTAAATCATCCGGAAATGAAAATAATATTACAGTACCAAATATAAATTATCTAAATAGAACAAAACAAAATACTTAATTAGTAGCCCAGTAGCTCATTAGCATATAAAAATAAAAAAAAAATAAAAAATAGCACAATAAAACATCAAACAACAGTCTTAACCAGCAGCAAAACAAGTCTGAAATTGGCAGCATATCAAGTCTGAAAACGGTAGCAAAACAAGTCTGAAAATGGCTACAAGCAAGGCTAGCTCTCAATCTGAATCTGAAACTGTAATCACATCTACAAAATAACATAATTTAATTAAAAATCCACAATATGATATTTATTCATAAATTGAATTAAATGTAACAAATTGTTAACACTTACCAGAGTCGTATTGTTCAAGTTCGTCCAACTTTTCTTCAACATCAACTGTTTCTATTTTATATTTTTGTTGTTAAATTCATAAAAAAATACTGAAATAAAATCATTACAAAAAATGTTGTATACAAAACAAAAATTAAAATTTTATTTTTGGTATTTCATATTACAAAAAATACCAAAACTGTTTATCTATTTTATCTACGAAATATGATCAATATCTTTCAAAACTGTTTTTATCTCATATTTGGTAACTTAAATCTAAAAGTAACAAATATATATATATATATATATATATATATATATATATATATATATATTAGATAAAATTATTACAAAAAATTAAGTAAAATATTTGGTAACTTACAGGAACTTTTATACAAAACAAAAATTAAAGTATGTAGATAAAATCATAAAATTAAATAGATCGACGTAAAAAATTAAATTATGTAGATAAAATCATAAAATTAAGTAAATCCATATAAAAAATGTTCAGAGAAGAGGAGAATAAGTAGATCCATGTAAAAAATGTTTAGAGAAGAGGAGAATAAGAAGATCTATTCAAAAATCTTGTGAACTCACCGAAAAAGAGGTAGATTCAGTCGAAGAGGTCGCCGTTGCTTCGATACACAGAGGTCGCGTTGCTTCGAATCTGATGAACGATGGGTAAGAGGTGTTAGATTAAGAGACGAGAGATTTGGAGAGGTGAAGAGTGTCACAAACTCACAGAGGTGGGAGATTGGGAGAGGCGAAGAGGGTGAAGAGAAGAGGCTGTGAGGGAGGCGCAACTGAAAGTCTGAAATGAGATTGGAGTAATATCGTAATGAAGAGACGAGGCTGAGTTAGGGTTAGGTTAACATTAAAAAATAATGAATAAAGAAAAAAAAAAACAAAAAAGAAATACGATATATCATTATATTGTATATATATATTAATATATTATTTAGTAACAGTTCGGTTCGGTTTGTCTAACGGTTCGGATTGGCAACGGTTCGGTTCGAATCGGTTAACGGTTCATATCGGATTTTTCAGCCTCCAATCCGTTAACCGAACCGCAGACACCGAATTGCAGATTTTTTAAACCATCACCGAACCATAAGATCTGAAAACTGAACCGAACCACACGGATCGGATTGGTTCGGACTGGATTGAAGGATTATTTGCTCACCCCTATTCAAAATACGCTTTAGCTCCGGTGCAAATGCAAAAAAACAAAGGGTGTTTCTATTGTCATAAGATCGGCCATTTTGCTAAATATTGTCGAAAACGCAAGGCTGATCTCATGAACTAGAAAGAGCCTAAGAAATACGCTAAGGAAGATCTAACTGTTGTAATCACTGAGACTTTTGTCATTGGAACCTCAGTGGAGTAGTGGATTGATACTGGAGCAACTCGCCATATTACAACGAATCTTAACTCCTTAAAACCTATAAAATAGTGGGGGATGGAATGTCAATGTTCATGGAAAATTCTTCATCTTCCAAGGTTGTGGGTAAAGGAAGCGTAGACTTAAAGTTTTACCTCTGGAAAAGTGATTTCTCTGAAAGATGTGCTACATGTTTCAGATATTCGCAATAATTTGGTGTCTGGTGCCCTCCTCTCCAAGCATGGATTCAAGATGGTTTTCGAATCTGATAATTTCATTCTGTCTAAGAATGGTGTTTTTGTCGGGAAAGGCTATACTGCAAATGGTATGTTTAAACTTAATGTTGAAAATAAAATATTTTCTGCTTATATTGCTAAGTCAATTGATTTATGGCATGGTAGATTAAGCCAAGTGAATTTTAAGTCCATTGATCAAATGGTTAACGAGGGGTTAATCATAGGTTGTGATAAAACATATATGGATCAATGTGTGACTTGTAGCAAATGCAAAATTACTAAGAAAACCTTCAAATCGATAGAGAGGAAATCCACTCTATTGGAATTGATCCATACTGATGTATGTGAAATGGACTTTTTATCACGTGGAGGGCATCGTTACTTTATCACTTTTATTGATGATTGTTCTAAAAATACCTATTTCTATACTTTATGATCTAAAGATGAAGTTTTAGACAAGTTCAAGGCATATAAAGCAGAAGTCGAAGAGCAGCTGAATTCAAGCATCAAAGTTATTCGATCAGATAGAGGAGGAAAATACATCAAGTCCGAGTTTCAACATCTATGTGAAGATGAAGGAATTAAAAAACAACTGACAGCCTCTTATACTCCTCAACAAAATGGAATAGCTGAAAGAAAGAACATAACTTTGACAGAAAATTGTGAACTCAATGCTTACCAGTTCAGGCTTACCTAAAAATATGTGGGTAGAAGCTTTGTGATCTGCTTGCCACATTCTCAATAGAGTCCCATATAAGAAAGTTAATATGACTCCATATGAAGTATGGAGAGGAAAAACGCCAAATGTTAATTATTTCAGAGTCTGGAGTTGCTTAGCTCGTGTTAGACTACCATATCAGCAGACGTCGAAGATTGGTTATAGAGGCATTGATTGTGTATTTATTGATTATTCAACAACCAGTAAAGCCTACAGATTCTTGAATTTGGAGTCTCCCTCGCCTCGTACAATCATCGAGTCAGTTTATGCAAATTTCTTCGAGAATATTTTTCCGAAGAGAGAAGGCAAAAACGAACATGATATTCCTTCAGATTCTAATACAAGAAAGAGAAAATGCTCTGATCCTTCAGAAGAAGTTGAACAAGGAGGAGCTCCAGAATTGCTAAGCGAAAGTCCTTTAGACTAGACTTCTTTACTCTTATTATCGAGAATGAGCTTGTAACTTATTCCGAGGCGATGTCCTCACATGATGCTTCGTTCTGGCGAGAAGCAATCGATGATGAAATGCATTCAATTATGTCCAACAATACTTGGATGATGGTGGATCTTCCTCCTTGTTGCAAGCCAATTGGTTGCAAGTGGATCTTCAGGAATAAATTAAAATCAGACGGAACGCTGGATAAGTACAAGGCTAGATTGGTAGCAAAATGTTTCAATCAGAAGAAGGAGATTGACTATTTTGACACTTTTGCTCCTGTTCCAAGAATTTCTTCTATTAGGCTTTTGATTGCCTTAACTGCTATCAATAATTTGATAATTCATCAGATGGACGTAAAGACTGCTTTCCTCAATGACGATCTAGCAGCGGAGATCTATATGGAACAACCTCAGGGGTTTTTATTACCTGGACAAGAAAATAAGGTGTGCAAATTAATCAAGTCATTATACGACTTGAAACAAGCTCCAAAGCAGTGGCACGAAAAATTTAAAAAGGTGATGCTATCTGTCGAATTTAAGATTAATGAAGGAGATATATGCATCTTTAGTAGATTTCAAGGAAACTCTGCTGTCATAATCTGCCTCTATGTTAATGATATACTCATTTTTGGAACAGACATGGAAAGTGTCATAAAATCTAAGAAGTATTTGATTTCTAATTTTGACATGAAAGATCTTGGCGAGGTTGATGTGATTCTAGGAATTAAAATCGTGAGGTTCCAAAATGGTCTAGCACTTACGCAGTCCAGCTATATCGAGTAGATTCTAAAAAAGTTTAATCACTTTTCAGATTCTGTAGTCTCTACTCTAATTGATCCTAGTGTGAAGTTGGTACGCAATCAAGGTAAAACGATAGATTAACTCGAATATTCTCGGATTATTGGCAGTCTTATGTATGCAATGTACTGCACAAGGCCAGATTTAGCCTTTGCAGTGGGTACTTTGAGTAAGTACACAAGCAATCCAAGAAAGGAGCATTGGAATACTTTGCTGAGAATCCTAAAGTACTGGAAAGGTACTATGGATTATGGATTGCACTATGGAAAATTTCCAACTGTAATCGAAGGGTACAGCGATGCTACATGAAACTCTGATGGAAAAGACTCATTATATGTGACTGCCTGGATCTTCACATTGGGTGGAGCAGCGATTTCATGGAAATCAAAAAGGCAAACATATATAACTCATTCCTCTATGGAATCAAAGTTTATAACACTTTCTTCTGCTGGAGAAGAAGCTGAATGGTTGAAAAGCATATGGGAAGATATTCCGATATGGAACAAGCCAATACCACCCTTGACAATATATTATGACAATATAGCTGCAATGTTTCGAGCTAACAGCGAATGTTATAATGGAAAATCTAGACAGGTGCGATTGAAGCACAATCATGTGAGAAGGATCCTAGCTGATGGAATTATTTCTACTCAATATGTGAAGTCCAAATCAAATTTGGCAGATCCATTGTCAAAGGGCTTGGGTAAGGACCAAGTGTCCGAGACATCGAAAGGGTTCGGATTAAAGCCTGTAATTGAATAAGTTGTACTGTTATGGGAACCTAACCCAGTGATATTTCTCCTGGGTTCAATGGGAAAAACAAGTAACATAACAACTTGTGTGAGCACATCAATGTTCCTTTCCCTGTGATGTGATGTGGTGCTCAATCCTGTAACCGAGAAGGTTGAGATTTAGATCTTTTCATGAATCTATAGATCGATTTTTTATTAGAGTGTACAGGATCACTTCTGATAGATTCACCGACTAACCTTTGAGGAGGCTGAGACTTGTATCTCTTAATGAATTCTATAGATCGGATTTTCGATTGGGGTGTACACAATCACTCTTGATAGATTCACCGATTTATCTCGCAATGAGGAGGATGAGATTAAATTCTCTTAATGAGTCCATAACCGGTATTCGGTTGGAGTGTGCAAGGTCACTCTTGATGGACACATCGATCTAAGTGTGGAAGTAGGACCGCTTCTATAGGATCCAGACAGGCTTGATCCTTAACGACACTCAGAAGTATGGATTCCGAACATATGGCCAAAACGTGTCAAGCTTTAGTACTTTATCTCCAAACAGAAGTGTGTGTGTAGTATTTCTTATTCATCAACGTGGTTTTAGGTTTAAGATATCGTTCACCAAGTTCCTAGATGAACTGAAGGGTACTTACACTAGGTTATGGTTTAAGTCCAAAAGACACCATTATAAATGCACATAACTGTACCAATTAACAAAATGAATTTAAAACAAATGGGGGATTGTTGGAGTTATGTTTCAAATTAATTTTTAGTAACTTTATATTTTTGAAGACTTTAAGTCTTGGCCTTACTATGAAGGCATAAAGTTTTTTTACAAACTCTAACCAAAGGATCTTCACCTGATGCAATTAATCAACTATATTGTTATATTATTTATGAGTCAAGTTTAAAGTATATTAAATACTTTATTTAATTATGTCTTCTATATATGCTATTATAAATAGTAGGGTTTCGAAGCCTACAAAATACACACTCTCAATACAAGTAAGAGAGAAAATGAGATTTTATAAAAGTGTTTTCATACTGTTGAATTTGAGTGTGTGAGTTTCATATTTTCTGTTGATCGGATGGAGATAAATACACAAGTTCATGAAGAAGAAGTGCAACCTTCATGAACATACAGTTTTGATATCTGGGCTTAGTTGAATCCCAGAGATAATGCTGTCATTTGTCTTCCGTTGCACGTGGGAGAAGCTTCAACTATCTTCAATAAGCGATTACGCGCCTCTAAGCCTCGATACTCACCGTTTTAATATATCGGTTCCAACAAGAAATTATCCTTAATAAAAATTTAAGAAAGAGCAAATTATATAAACCCTCCATTGAACTTAAATTTATTCAAGGGTGATTACAGATCAGATTGGGCATTAAACCTAATCAATTCAATTCCTACGAATTGGTGAAAATTGAATCTAATTTGATTCGTTACTTTACAGATTGAATCGAATCGAATTAAACATTTTCACAGATCTAATCGGATTGGTTTCATAGATTGAGTTTTTTCCAAATAGCTCAATATAATTTTTAAACATGGCCTACCAGATGAATTTTCAGCCGTTTGTAAAACTTGTAAGTTAGTAGGTGTTTAGGGTTCAAAGTTAGTAGAACTTAAAATAATAAAATAATAAAGAAAATAGAAATAGTGTATATATATGTATATATATTATATAAATTGAACGAATATTATTCGGATCAGTTTCTTAAGACCTCAATCCTTTAACCGATCAATGGACTACAGATTCCTTATTTTTTAAATCCGTAACCGGACCATGAGGTTAAAAAATCAATAAAATATGCACAAATTGAATTGGATCTTATCAATTTCACAAATTTACGGATTAAATAAACACCTCTAGATTTATGCACAAAACCCTATTGTCAATAATTTAAGAAAATTTCAAATTAAAAAATATATGATATTCATTTTAGATTTTATTTTCTTTTATAATTTTTAAAAATTATGCACTTTTAAAATGATATTATAATGACAAAAATACCTATTAATAGAAATTTAAGAAAATGTAGGTTTTCTTTAAATAAATTTCAATTTATTTTTCTGGACCATTAATGTAATATCATAATAAAAATATAGCTTTTAATATAAATTTATAAAAATTTAGGTTTTCTTTAAATTGATTTTAATTTTAGGTTTTATTTTTATTTCTAATTTTTTTTAAGAATTTTTTTAAAAAAATTTCAAATGAATTTTCATTTTCTTATAAACACATCTAATAGTTTTTATTTTTATACAAATATAATTCATATAATTATTTTTTTCAAAAATAATTTTCAACAATTCTATGTTAAATGAATTATTTATATCAGTTTTTAATCTCATCATTAAATAATAAAAATGACATAATTTCGTTCATAGATATTAAAGTCCTCTGCAAATTATATTTATAAATCTCACTTTGTTTCAGTAGGTTTTTTTTTCCCCGATAACTGGGGTGTCCGTGTAATACATCTCCCCCTCTACGAATAGAATAAAGCATAAAGTATATTCACAAGTGTTGATTTTAAAGAATTACTTGTACTTAGTAGAAATCAATCCATCTTATGTTTTATGAAGTAGCACGACTGTAATGTTTTCCAGCCAGGTCAACCCTGGAATACTTTTATCTTCCAAGGGCCTATAAATACACAATGTAAGGACATTGTGGGTATGCAAAGGAGCCAACACTTGAGAGACCTCATTAGGCATCAAAGAGAGCTTTTGTTCTCACATTTTCTCTTCATCTCTCTCATTCATTCATATACTATACTTGAGAAATTCAACTAAGGATTCAAAGAGCTTTTGCTCTATTCTATAATTGAGAGATCCTATTGAGTTCATATGAGCTTTTATTCTTCACTTATATCATCCTCTCTCATTCATATCATTCATAGAATTTGAGCTTCACTTATATTCATCAATACTCTAGTTGTAAGCTAAAATTTGTACATCTATCTTTGAGAGATTTTATATACTTCATT